CTGTATTTCGAACAGTTAGAGAACCGTTCCGAACTGACCCAGAATCAAAGTGTGGAACAGATCTTACAAATGAAAAAATTATAGAACGGATCTTACAAATGAAAAATCAAGACAGAAAAATCCATGATTCTGCGTAATTATTAACTTTTTTTTGTCAGTTAGGAAAGATGGAAATTTATAAACGACAGAACTGGAAAATCTCATAAATGGGCATGTGGAGATTTTGGAGCTGTTCCAAAGTGTTTGACCGTGTATAGCTGAGGTTGATGATTGAAAATTGGAGTTATGGTTTGACAGATAGTTTTGTTTTATATTTTCCAGCATTATTGATGATTTTCCCCCGGATTCCATTACAATTGACGTGTTCCTCAGAGATCCATTTTGTCTATTGTATATCAACATTCTTCTAGAAAGACTATTAGTTTGTTTAGTTGACGATAGGTACGAAGTTTTATGCCTTGATGGAGTTTTAAAAGAAATCTTGAAATGGACAATTCCTCCGAAGGTTACTTGAATGAAAACTCCGGAAAAATTATCAGTGCCAATAGTATAAACAGTCGCAATCGTACAAATTTTCAAGTCTTTCTCAACAGGAATATCAGAAGGTTAGCTGGCAAACAAAAACAACTTAACGGCGCACTTTTTTCTCTTCGCTAATTATAATATAACACGAGAACACTTCAAGAATACGAATAACTTTATATAAAATCCTGATTTCTTGGAATAATTAACCGATGCCGTCGTCCTTGGACTTCGCCGGTTCAACAATATCAACTAGAATATGAAATGATTTCGTCTCTTTTCAATCATCAGCTAGTTCGCAATTTGTCAGATAGTGTATTTTCGTTGTGTAACATTCCAATTCGTTAGCGACAGACAAAAAGCGAGAACCTTTTTAGATTTATAAACGGAAAAACATTTGGCCACAATCGACCTTTGATTTAGTTGATAAAAATGTTTCGCAATGTTTATACCTACGGGAAAACGAAATGTTTACACATAAGCTTTAAAAGGTCAACAATAACAATAACAGATGTTCCTTGAGGGATTCGCTAAGCAAATAATGTATAGATAAGAGAGTTATGTTCCTTGCCTACTCTGGGAGAATTGAGGTAACACGTTGTCTGTTTAAGGCTAATAGGGATTGTCTGCTATCAGTGCAGATTATTATATTTTTGCCAGAAATTTTTTCCTGGTTATTTCTTTCGTGGCGATTGAGATACCAGTCGGTTCCCTTTGAACCACGCTGGTATTTTTCCCATTCCCACTTAATCCTTAGGCTTAGTGATCTGGAGTACACTCCATATCCTGAAATATGGACCAATGACGCCGCCAGCCCAAAACTCCATTATATTCTAGTATTGATCAGTATATTCTAGAATGGAATTTTTAAAATTATTCTGTGATATTCCATTAAATATTATTCTCAAAATTTTCTCTACTATACCAGAGGCTCACGAGGCCACTTGTACCCCATTTTCACACTCTTCTTGACTACACAATTCTTGTGTGTGTGTTTGTGTTCCCTGCTATTTGGGCGGTTGACGTTGACGAAAGGGGTATTCATCAGTGACGTCATAATATGGGCTGGTCATTGAAGAGAGAACATTAACTCCAACAACTAAAAAAAGATGAAGAGATTCACGTTTTGGCATAACGTCACTCATACACTTAACGTCGATGAGTCGTTATTTAAAACAACCCCGAGTAGTTTGACAGCGCTGGTAAATTCTAAGTAATGACAATTTGAAGAGGAGACAAACGTTTGACTTTTGTTCCTATTCAACTTGAGTTTTTTTTATACAAACCAAGTGATAGCTTTATCCTCTGTCATATTGGACTACAAACGGGGTTGTGAAATATATTTATCTTTCAGTCATGGAGATATCACCAACATAAATGCATATATACATTCATGACCTTTGGAGACACCGTGATTTTTTGTATTACAGTCCGAGTCAGGCCTGGATGTGATAATATTAGCTGCAATATTATTAAAAGACTCGTTGAAATCTGTAAATATGTCAATTTAGTTAGAAATTTGTTGCCGAATAAAAAGCAAACGACTTTGACGCTCGATACAAACCATCGAGCAAGAGAAGATAATCCGTCAGAGGGATGAAGAGGAAAAAACGATGTTTAGCTTCAGCCAAACAATTCGAAGAAATCGCTTTCCTTCGGAATTATGAATACAGCCGTTCTCCAACGATTTATCGCGAAACAAAGATAAGTCATTTGCGTACGTAAACCTCGAGAGTTTAATGATGCAATATCACTTAATTGTTGTATGACTTGCGCGTTGCGATGGTTCACATTGAAAAAGCAACTTTCTGTGCGCGTTGAACCTTGTCCCGTTTGCTGTGCCGGCCGCATTGTTGCCACGTTCGAGCACCGACTAGATTTACGCATCGGAGCACAATGGGACTGCTTTCGGTCGTCGGAAAATCATCTCGGTGATGAATATTTCATCGGTAGAGATCAATGACCAAGGCAGGCTCTCCGTAATCAGCGTCAATTTTCTGAAGGGTTCAAATACTTATATATAATTATGTCTTAGATTCGAGTTGTGTCCATGGTGACAATAATTAAGAACTTTTTGAAGGTTTATGACATCATGCGGCGCAGTCGGTAGGATACGAAGTCACACTCCCAAAAATATGATTTCCAAACAGAACCTGGTTATAAGTAACACTAATATTCAAATATTATTATGGATAGTGTATCTACAATCATGAAAACTGATTATTAGTATCTACAATACTGAAGATTATTTTATAAATATTTTCATAATGTTCTGGAATAGTGTTTTGGAAATAGCCTCCAGATTATCCTTTTCACACCAAATCTGCTGCTTATCTTTCAAAACTACTGATTATATTTTATTTCTCGTGTAATCGGCGGCACTACACCGTTCATATTTTTAATCGTTTTCACGTACGTGATGAGACAGCGAAAAACTAAAATTGAAGGTGATTTTGGCGACGATAAAATGTTCTTGTGTAATATTAGACAAATCATCGCGTTATCAGTTATCGCGATTAGTGATGTACTATTCCTAGACGTTCATTTTTCCTTGAAGTATTAGTCATTGTTACCACATCCACTTATTATTCATTTCAATGATATTTCACGGGTGGACGGCAGTTTACATCGTGCACAATTAAATCAAATGATTGTATCTACGCATATTCTAGAGATTTTCGTGAATTCGCACACAGGTGATACTCAATACAAACAAATTATGAATGCTCTATTTTCAGATTGGCCATATCGATTTCAGGTTTATCACACTTATAAAAAACGATGTTGATAACTGTTATCAGATACCACTTACAACAATAATATCTTCTAGAATACTCTTCTTGAATCTTTCTTCACCACTACTTTGACGAAATGTGTTACCTCCAAGTTCAATCTTTACGTCATCTTGTCCATGAAATGTTATTTGATCTTCTTTGGGTTTTTCCAGAATGAACGGTATCGTTGAATTTTTCTTCAAACTCTGTTATTACTAGTGCTAGCATTTTTTGTATTTAGTAGTCTCTCTTTCAGTTTTCATTTGTAACTCAACAAAAATTTATGATATTTTTATCTACGTATGTCTTTCTTTTATCTTTGTAGTTCTTCTATGTGTTGATTCAGTTGAAATTAATATATTAGATTCAGGTGTTCCGTGACACAATGGTCTTCCTCGTACCTGCATCGATCATCTTATCGCTAACTCATTGACCCCAACATCTCAGTAAACTGAAAAATTGCAACAATCACAAAACAGAATAATAGTTCTTCCTCTTCTTCTTTTCTTTACCAATTACTCATCTGATGTTTTTCGATTGATACAAAATAATTCAAATGTATTCCGCATACCTCAATCTTGACATTGATCACATCCGCAACCGTTATCGATTGCATCAAAATGCATCAAATGAAACAAAGCTTGTATTTTCCATATTACCTTCGATGCGGAAAGTGATCTCACCAGCATTTTTCTACAATTCTTCTTCCAATGTGGTAGAAGTATTATCATATTTTGGTTGGATGTATATGACTTCCCTCTCCAGATGTCGTTAGACATGTGACAAATGTTAGGACAGACAATTCCGCTTTCTGCTTCGATAAGTTTGTTAGGGGTTGAAATGGACAACAATATGTCTTGGCACAAGTTTGGAACACTGTTCTGAACAAAGCTCATATCAGACAAACCCAAGATTGAACGTTTTGGAACTTTCTCGAGTGTTGGAAATTGTAAGTGTGGTTTCATCTGCGTACATAGTGAAGAATGCTGACACAGGGAGCTTATCAATGTCGTTGATGTGAATTATGAATAGGAAAGGGCCAAATACTGATCCTTGTCGGACACCCAAGTTGTTTTTCAAGTACCCAGATGACTAGTTTTTAACTGAAGAACTATTCGAGTATATATTGTGCATTGAAATGCACAATATGTAACCAACAAGAACCCTTTCCAACGCCTTCTTTACGCCATCTGAGCTCATCGAGGAGGCCATGACCCGCTAGAGCGAAAATAGTTGCAACAGAAGCAGTGACTATATATAAACAAACAGAGCCACAACTAAACGATTCTCCGAAAAATCAATTCGGTGAATGCATAGCCAAGAAACTCCTCCGCGTTTTCGCAACCGCAACAATGAATGCCTTCAATATGTGTAGTATTGGCAAAGTGTAACATGAATAAATTAAAAAAAGAAGTGAAAGCTGGCTGCAAGGCAATTCAGCTCTTAGGTAACCAGTCGAGATGACTGACTGATTAACTGCGATATTGTAGGAAGTTTTGCGAGGTATGCAGAGAGACAGCAACAAAAACGACTTTGTTGTTATATAAAACTATTAATGGAACCGTTTAGAAAGAAGCGAAATGTAATCCAGTTCGACTGGACATTCATTAGACGAGAATAGTCTAATTGAATACAAGAATAACCATTTCCAAAAGTATTTTGTAATTTCAAGATTTCTAACAATAACTTTCATTTGCTCACTGAGGTTCAGGAATTATTTTAATACTGGTACAGGCACCGCTCTTGAAGCGGCGAATATGACATTCGATCCGCCAACAAACGCTAAACGCTCGTTTGCTCGCTGGTTGTCCGTAGAAGTGTTTCGCCCACAATAATAATAATAAAACCTGATCTTCGAGAGCTGGTTATTCAATCCGTTCGCTTACTAAAGATTTACGTAACTCGCGCGAGTGTCCCAACTCTCTCTGTCGGGTCGGATTGGAAGACATGAAATGTGACCACCGCACACCACCTCTGCCTGCCGTGCCGCCGCTCGAACGGTATCGCGGATTACATCACTTGCACATAGTTTCGAAGGAGTTGGCACATTCAACGAGGCCTTCGATTACGAGAGACATACGCCCATCGTTAGTCGGTATACAAATGACTATTTCTTCAATTTGCTGACGCCGAGGTCAAAACTGGCACGAACCGAAAGATTTCAACTTCACACAATCTGAAAAAAAAATTCTCATCTACTAGTGTTGAGATAAATCATTCTAGAACCACATCTTCCTTACCAGGTCAGTCTGTTCGTCGATCTATCTGTAGTGTACACGATATCTCTCGAAGAGAACGAGATGGCGGCTTGATTTTTTATTATATACAGTGTTTGTAGGTTCCTCAACGATAGGAAACCTATTTTCCGGAACTAATGAAGATGTCTAAAAATTCCAATCATCAATTTCCCCTCTTGCGGCAGGCACTATCAGGGTTAGAATCAGTCCCCGACATTCCTTGTCTTTTGTAAGGCCAACTGAAAAAGGTATTTCAGCAATGTTGTGCAATCCATGTTGAAGAATTAATGATACCTGAGCCTTATCAAGTCCCACCATCATCCCTCCGCGGTTGAGGGTCCTGAAATAGAGTCTCCCACACACGGTTACTGTGTACAGAAGCTAGAATCTCTCGCGTCCACTCCTGCTCGCTTCCGAGCGATCTTCAACCTGCTGCTTGCCACTTCAGAGAGATTGATATCTAACCTTTTATGGTTAGCAAGTCGGCCTCTGGTGCCTATACTTCTTCTTTTTTTGTGTTTTATCTGACTGTGTGTATAGTTATGCACGGTGGTCCCCTGTACCTAGTTGGAGACGATTATGTGTGTCTGTGTGTGTGAGTGTGTCTGTGAAGTATTTACTCGTATACTTACCGAAGCCGCCGGAGATCGTTTCTGGGAGGTGGTGTCTGATTTTGCTTCGTCGGCCCCTTGTGCTTGATCTTCTCAGAGAATTTGGGATCGTCCTTGTTCAATACGACGTGTAGATCACTTAACGACGGTCCATAAACCTTTAGATATGGAGTCTGTATGTTTCTGAGCCTCGGCCTCGGGTAGTTGAGGCATTCAAGATGAGGAGGAGTAGGATTAGAAACAGTTTCACTCGGAGATCCGTGTTGCTTCTGCGTCCGATGATGAGGTAGAGGTTGTGTCTAACAGCTTTCGCCAGCCCCTTACTCTGTATGATATGGACCTGAATATGTCCCATCAAGGTTGACCCCTAGGTATCTTGCTTCGTTTGTCCATGGAATGTCATGACCGTTGATGACGACATATCCTTCGGGGTGTACCGTCCTCCAGGTGAATAGTATCGTCTAACTCTTCTCAGGGTTGATACCAATCTTCCAGAGGTTGGCTCATTTTTCTAGTATGTCCGCTTCTTGTTGTAGGTATTATGTAAGTAGCGCGTGGTTGGTGGATCTTGCTAGCAGAGCTGTGTCGTCCGTGAACCAACTTGTTGAAGTCGTCTTCTGGCTTGGGCACGTCTGCCGTATATACCGAGAGAAGATGTGGAGAAAGAACTGTGCCTTTGGGTATTTCTGCTATTAGTAGTCGTCTGGTGGAGAGTTCCTATCCTACTCTGCATTGGCATTGTCGGTCAGCTAGAAAAAAATCGATTATTCTTACCATTATTCCCGTATAGCCAAAATTTGTCATTCTGGCCCCGATTCCTACGTGTCTGACTTTGTCAAACACCATGGAGACGTCTAGGAATATGGCTCCGGTGTGGTATACTTTGCCCAGGTCGAAACCTTCTGTCGCGTAGTCAACCACTCTCAGGACTTGAACAATCTGTCGAGTTTTCCGGCCCGAATCCGAACTGGTAGAATGTTCAGTTCTTTGGTCTTGTCCTCGATGTGTTTAGTTCTGAATCATTTGATGAAGAGTCTATACTGTTTATCGGCAGCTAGAGGAGAACCAATTACTAAAGCATATCTGGTTTTCGCCAAGCGACATAATCGAAGGGATTAGGAAATTTGACAATTTTAGTAACTAACCATACAGAACCTCCCTTGTATTTTTCAATAAATAAAAAATAGATATGATATTGCTCAACTTAGTTTTCTTTCGAGATATTCGACATCCTCTGAAAACTTGGGAGATTTGTGAAACAGTCGATTGGACTATGCAGAACTTTGTGTCAAATCGCAAAATTCAGTTACGATGTTCTGTTCAGAATTATATGATCTGTTTTTATCTACAACCGGGAACACCCTGTAGAATGTCTGTATATTGAAGAAGTAACCTTTAGTTTTGCTCCCTTTCCTTAGATTCTTCATTACTCAAGACAGTAATGTTTTTTTCCTTCATTAGATTGAACAATAACTTGATTTTCGTAAAAATTATGCCAGGGACAGGAAATCTGAAGCAACGTCAGTGGTTCGCCTTGTATTGTGAATCGTGAAACCGTCGCCGGATGAACCAAATAAGCGAGCATCGCTGATTTGTGTCGAGCTATGGACGACGGGGCGTTTTTCACACACACGCCACACGAGAAGTGGATAACCGTTGGAACGCGGGAGCAGAGAAGAAGAAGAAGAAGAAGACCAAGTCGGGTGCAGGTGGACGAGTGACCGTGCACCTGCATATATGTGTTGCATATTAAGAGTCGGACAAACAGGTGAAAATCCAACAAAACGGCCGCTCTAACGCGCTACCAGCTTTCGATACAGAGGCGTGCATTCGAACTAAAACAACTATTGGCAAAAAATAATAGCGACAAAAATAGCTAGCCGAAAACTCCGTAGTTTTAGATTGTTTGACGTTAAAATCATTTCATCGACCAGTTGCCACAATAAAACATGAAACTCTGTAACTGCTTCACCCTAGTTTTTCAACAATTTATTTAATGAGTATAAGCAACAATATAATAGCAGTCAGATATTTCAAAGATCATTTTATCAAATGATCTACCTACCTCATCTTGGCTCTCCTGCTTGTGAATCCCAGTGAGCTAGCTCCCTTACCCTTACGGCGTGTGTTCGTCAGGAGGACAAACGAGACACAACTGACTGGGGATTGATGACGGTATGAAGGACCTCAGACATCCTGGCTGGGGTGTTTTGGTGAGAAAATTACTCATCCATTATCTAAGTATATGAGGACAGAGTGACAGGGTCTTCTTTATCGGGAGGGATCGTCTACAGCATACTCTATCTATAGCTTTCCTAACTATTCACTTCGAAATGTCACACGTTCAAATCTAGAAACGTTTTCTTAAGCTCCTCCGTCAACACGGTTTCGAGACGAAACCCTCTCCGCTCATCTACGCTACTGTTTTCGAGATGGAACAACTAACAGCAACGGTCGTCTTTTCCCAGCGACCGATGCGATCGACCTGCGCCAGACAAGGAAGGTCGCATATTGTTTGTGTACACGGTGGGACGATACGATCTTGATTTTTGACTGAATAACACGCTTACACCTGTGAAACTCGATCGGCGAGATAAAAACTTTGAAGTATCGCGTTTAATGGCGACAGAATCATCGCGTTAGACGGTGGGATGCTGTCGGAAAACGGCGAAAAAGTGAGTTGATGGATATTAGTTGAAGCGACAGAGGGGTTTTCCAAGAAGCAGTCCAATAAATCATGCACACAAAACGAGTCTAATCAAACCTTCCAGGATCCAATATGCTCTTAAGAAAATCTGTAATTCCTAAAATATTGAAAATAAAATTGTCATTTGCCTGTTTTTACATATATTACGTGAGCTACTGAGTTTGTCAAAAAATATTTGAACGTTTATTGTAGGAAACTTTGGTAAATCTCGAAAAAAGAGGCAAAACCTCGTAGAAAAGAGGCAAACTCTTGCAAAAAAAGGCAAATTCTTGGAAAAAAGAGGCGAAATCTTGGAAAAAAGAGGCGAAATCTTGAAAAAAAGAGGCGAAAACTTGGAAAAAAGACGAGAAAACTTGGAAAAAACAGACAAAACCTTGGAAAAGAGACAAAATCTTGGAAAAGAGATAATATCTTGGAAAAAAGAGGCGAACTCTTGGAAAAAAGAGGCGAAATCTTGGAAAAAGAGACAAAACCTTGGAAAAGAGGCATAACCTTGGAAAAGAGGCAACATCTTGGAAAAAAAGAGGCTAAATCTTGGAAAAAAGAGGCAAAATCTTGGAAAAAAGGGGGCAAAATCTTGGAAAAAAGAGGCAAAATCTTGGAAAAAAGAGGCGAAATCTTGGAAAAAAGAGGCAAAACCTTGGAAAAGAGACAAAATCTTGGAAAACAGATAATATATTGGAAAAGAGATAATATCTTGGAAAAAAGAGGCAAAATCTTGGAAAAAAGAGGCGAAAACTTGGAAAAGAGGCAAAATCTTGGAAAAGAGATAAAATCTTGGAAATGAAAGGCAAACTCTGGAGAAAAAAGAAATTTCATGAGAAGAACAGCAAAAGAAAAAACAGAATGGAAGTTATGAAAAGAGGTCAAATGAAAAAAGGCAAAGAAATCACGAAAAAAAAAATAAAAAAAATACATATTGGGAAACAAAACAAATCTGGAGAAAAAAGAATGGAAAATGTGTGGAAAGGTGAATTAAAATAGGTTTCATTTCGACAAAAAGGGTAAATCTAAAAGAGTCCGAGTCTTGGGGAAAAAAAGACAAAAAGAAACCCTTAAAAATACAAAGATATCTGGAAAAAAAGAAACTAAAAATACGAAATGTTGAAAAAAATTGAGAACAATAGTATATACCGCAAAAACAATGAATAATTAAGAAAAAATCTTGGATTATCTGGATGAATGGAAGAACAAGAGAATAATAGTAAATATTGCAAAAAACTCGAAGAAGCATATCGAAAAAGGAAGCAAATCTATAAAAAAATCGACTGAAAAAGGGTAAATTCAAAATAAGGTCAAACAGACTGCCTTGAGAAAAAATGTTAGAAATTAAAAAAAGGGAATCGCGGAAGTAATAAAATGTCGATAAAGAGAAGGAAAAATGCAAAAATCTTAAAAAAAAGTAAATCTCTAAAAAGGAATTGACATTTAGTGAATGAAAATGGATATGGAGAAAAAAGGATAATTATGTCTAAAAAAAATAAATTCAAAATATTGAGAAAGAGATCGAAACTAAGAAAGATTCAGACATCTAGAAAAAACAGAAAGAATCTTAAGAAAAAGAGACGACTTCTCAAAAAATTTAAAATGAAAAATGTCGGGGAGGAAAGTTGCAAAATGGCGAAAAGTCAAAAAAACGAATTGAAAAATTGTCATGAAAAAAAAAAAGAAATAAAAAAAATGTATTTCCCAACAAATAAATCCACTTAAGGACAATATACATTAAGATAGTTATACTGAAGAAAAAATATATATAAAAGGAAGCATACATAGAAATAGGACATTGAATGATATTTGGAAGCAAAGGAAACTTCAGAAAAAGCTATATGGAGAAGGAAATGTCGGAAAAAAGACCATATGACAAAAAAAAAAAGAAAATCCCAAAAAACAAAAGGCATCCCTTCTCTGCGCTCCTCGTAAACTAAATCAGTGCCAGTGACTTCTGCTCCGATCTCAGAGGCGGTTCGACACCACGAAATGAACAATGAAGCCGTCAGTCACCGCCTTCTCCGCACAGTAGTAACAAACCCGTCATCGTCTTCACTTCCATGAGGCCTCGGGGATTCATATTCATCGGTTTCCAGATCGACGAGGAGGCGGCAGAGTCGCGCTTTCTTCTTCTTTTTCACCTCCTCGTCGTCGAAGGCGCACCGGTCGTTGACCAGGATGACCCCCGATCGCTGAACCGAAAGGATCCACCATTAGGAGGCCTTCGCCTAGCTCGCTCGGCTACCATGCGTCCGTCCATCGTCCTCTATCTGTGCCAAACCGTGAGAGATTTGCTATTTTCATTTGCGAAGCTTTTTCCGCGACCGCGCACTTATCAGTTTTGTTTTTTTTAATAAGCGTGACGCAGATCCATCGCAGATAACTGCGATAAACACGGCTCGACATAAACAACCACGAACAGTCGCGACTTGTGTATTTTATTGATATTTTGACGGAGCGTATGCAAAATCACTTTTACTTCGAATATTTGCATATCGAAAGCAGCGTTGATATGTTACAATTTTTGTTGTTTGTAACCTTACAAACAGACCAAATGAATCAAACAAAATTTTATTGTTTGCAGAATAGCTCTCGACGTAATCCGTGCTCAATATAAATATTTTTTATTTCTCTGAGAATCCGTAAAGTTGTCAGGAGATTTCATGATCTGTCACCATTCGAACGAGACTAAAGACAGCAATTGAAGGGTCTTGGTTCTCAATACTTTACGACGTGACCACAACAAACCGAGTTGGAACCCGCTCCCGCGGCTGCGTCAAGCTGATGAATGGTATAATTTTAGGAACATTGAAGACCTTGGTTTACCATGAACCTGATGTTTGGCTGATGGTCTTCCACAGCTTGATCTTTAGCGTTATGAATATTTGAAATTTATGAGATCCACGGTCATGCATTTGCTGTCAATCTGTGGAAAAGACGCGGCTTCAGCTTATATCTATTGGTAAAACATGGTTCTTAGGTACTACTTCGATTCTGACATTGACGATTCTCTGGGGGATAATGAAACCATTATGAGAAACAAGAACTGTAGAATTTAGCAAACTTCTTCGATTATTAATCAAAGTTAGACGACTAGATGGTATCATAATGAAAAAGCGTTGCATACATGACCCTGTAGCAACTATGCTATTTTTGTCTGCCATAGACCTCATCAGTAACACTAGACGGGTTATCGATGCAACTTTTTAACTCTTCCGTACTCAACAAGAGTATTATCTGAAAGGCGGGTGTTAATTCTCCAATGTAGATTCCTAGAGATAGAGAAAGAGGTTCCCGCAACAGAACTATTTGAGAGATGAGGCAAAGTGGTGGGACCCATATCGATGATTTGCCTATAGTTGACAACTGCAATGGCAACGGCTTTTTTTAACAAAATCTGAGACGTTATGTATCTCATTTTCCTCAAGAAACTGTATTATCCCTTCTCAGTCTCATAACGAAGTGGCAGATCTACCAGCAGTTAAGTTAGCTAAGGAGGAGGTACGAATCATTCCACTAGTGTATTAAGACTTAAGATACGTGGAATTGAAAGTTGCTTATACAGAGAAGATATAAGTGAGTTTGGCGCCTGTTGGCGACTCCATCTGTATGTGTTACTTCCTACAACCAAGTGCTGTCTTCTTCTTCTTCTCCTTTTTTTTTATAGTCTTTGCTTCCACCAAGTGTTGTTACTCTCAACGCTGATGAACGCCGATAGCAAGAAACAAGTGTTCACGGTTTGATTTTTAGAATGTTGGCGATCGTTATTCATCGTTGGCGATTAAAAGTTAAACGATGCTTGAACGGGACATAATCTGGCGAAGCACTACCAAACAAGCGGTAAAATGATTTATGGTTGCGGCGGTTATCATTTTCACGGCTTGAGCGCCGTTTGAGATGGCTCGTAAACAGTTTTTGTGTACTGGCACGACGTCATACACCCACCAGCGAAAGAGGTTGACAGTGAATCATGTCGAACAAGGGGAATACAACGCAAGCCGACTACTAGATTAGGGAAGGAATATCCATTGTGTGCGCCTTTTCTCTCGCTTCACTTGACGCGAGGTCCATAGACGAGATCAATACTTGTTTTGCTCTCTCGGATAAAGAAGGACCCGACAGCTCGAGTAATAGAAAGTCATTGCGGGTTAATACTCTTAATTGGGTGTATCGCGACGGTTTGGCGAATTGGGAGTTATCCAGATTTCGAAGCTCCTGCACTACGTTGTTGTCTGAGCATGTTTGAACACAACTTACATCGAAATATAAGCGATTTCTTGAGCGACGACCTGAAAAACCTCAACCACTACGAAATAATACACAATATATGTATAGAAAAAGTCGAGAGGTTTGAAAAAATCAAAAGCAAGTACTACAAGACTAAAAAACAAACTATATAAATATATTGACAGCAATATATGACTTGATAGTTAGAATTGGAACCTCTTAGTTTGGCTAACCAAGTTAGGATCATCAGGGAACTAGCTCTAGTTTTTATATAAATCACTTTATCGAAGGTGAAGCTTGGCACAGATGTATAAGTACAAAAACTCCGAGTTAGGTTAGGTTTGGTCCAACATCTTCTGATGATACGCTTGGGAGACAGTATTTTTGTTCTGGTGTGAGAAAATTATTCTCAACAGAGCAATAACAATCACCTCCTATCCAAATTGAAAGCAACCTAAATGTGACAAGGTCTGTGTAGAATAATAAGCAAATTAATTCTCATTTTGATACTTTGAGATATTACAATTGTACTTATTTATGTTATGGATACAATTCCGATTATTTTGAAAATAAAAAAGCTACAGGACTTTTCTGTAGAGGAGCATGGTAAATAAAAAAAGTATCAACTAATTGGATGATAATTTTCAAGATATTTTGAATTTCATGTTACAAAACATGTTTGAAATGCTGAATTTCAGAGGATAATCAAGAGGCCTTTTTTTCTGCTGAATTTTTCATTTATAAATTGCCAACTTATGAAGTGAATATCCATATTCAATAACCCTTTCGGTTTATATACATTTTTAAATGATTAGATTTAAAGTTTTCTCAGTGATTTAGGGTCTAGATGAGCAGCTCTCAGCAATATCTTAGCAAAAAAAATGCTTGGAACATTTGGTATCGACTTGAGGTCTCTGCAAGACTTTCTTTTCATACTTGATACAATCTCTGATACTTTGAGAACGTCGGGAAATAACGTGACGAGAGACCGAAGAATTCAACCTCGACTATTCGTGAAAAGTCTCAATTTCTCAATCGCTTCGGCCGCAATCGCCTTCAAAAAGTGCGCCAATAAAAACGAAGAAAAAAAATCAATGACAAAAGAACGATCTGTCACTTTCCTTACGTAGGTATCCCCGTCCAAATGACGTCAACGAGAAGCGTAAACAAAAAGTTTATCGGCGTCAAAAACAAACGAGAACATGCCACAGGTAGAAGGGGAGGGGATCGAGCGAACAAACGGCCATTCGCAGAGGAGGGGGCAAACAAAATGGCCGCTACAGAGCACAGGACCGGTTCATGAATATACTATGCGATACGTAGTAGGGCTAGCGATGGCGGGACATCACTCTGAATGACGTCACGCCCATCCCGAGAAATAGGTTCAAGGTCTCAGGTTTAACCCGACCGGAGGAAATCCCCTAGACCGCGGGTGACGGAGCGCCATTTAATGCTTCTAAACCAACAGTGGCAGAACGTTTACAGTCCGTTTGAAAAAGGTAATTGATCACACGGACTTATCTAATGCTCCCGTTACAAAACAATTTGAAGTGCTCAACTCGTACTGTTGACGCAGGGATCAACAAATAGTATTCAAATGCGTGTGTCAACTAGTTTTTATGCAACTAGAGAAATAGTATGAATGAATAAATAAATAGTTTGCGTTTCTATTTTGCCAAATTGCTTCCTAACCTGACTATGCGAAACATTTTGCTGCATAATTAACATTGACAATAATTTTGAAAATGACAACCACGCGCTTAAGCAAAGTGGGAAACCCTAAAATAGGGTCAACATCAATATTTACAAGTAATTATGAATTCGTACCTACCTGTTATTGAATACTAAAGCTGCTCCTTGACTCGTTGTTTACCTGCTAATTGTATTTAAAAATTTGAATAGGTAACTTGCAGACAGATCAATGAAAACAATGAACGTTGAATTTGTGAAAACTCTGGATACACAACTTGTTGCTAGTTCTCATGGCATAGGAGCAGTTTCTTGTTTTTTTTATGTAATTTAGCTGACATTGATTTATTTTACTTGAATGATATTTGTAAATGAAAAAAAATCACATTTGAATCAGTTATTTCAATTCAATTTGAGAACTAAAGTTTGTAGCTTTGTCTACATCAACGAAATGTCATTTTTATTTTTATAAATGATTTTCAGACATCATTGCAGCTCATTTACTTTCAACTTATCACAAATTCTATAGTAGTTTAAATACCATTAATATTGAAGCTCCCAGTCTGAGATAAGATAACGTGAAAGGTCATCTGACCTTCACGGAGTGATTATCGTGTCTGCTACAAAGTGCAACTTTGAAAATAAAGAAGTAACAATATAAAGTAAATAAAAGAGAACAAAGATTCCTTGCAAAAATTTTATTTTAAATATATGATAAAGTATGATTATGGAGTATGTACAAGAATAAAATAAGCTCCTAAAACGGAGCGGCATTTCATCTATAATTATATACAACGATTCATGTGCCGGCTCGCGAGAGTTCGAAAAGTTCCAACGACAACAAATCTTTGTTATATCCTTTGTTGGGTGCTCAGGTAGAAACGGCTACCTACCCATATCCGGTGCAAGGCGACGAATTGGAATGTATTCAAAACAACGGGGGCCAGACAGATGGTCGCTTTTCGAACGTTCTCGGGAGCCGTTACGCTTTATACAAAAATACAATTAGTTAACATCTCACTATCACATTGGTCTGGTACGGCAGAGTACCTTTCACGACCGTGTTTTCTTCACAAATTCCCGCCCCCGCGAATGAATAAACGTACATATCACAAAAACGAACAATTTTGAATCGGAGGGGGCGCGAGTTTGCGAAGAAAAGTTCGTTGTTTACAGGAGATCGTTTACAAAAAGTAACACCGACAAACTGACGGCGTCGATTCAACATTCCCTAGGACGAGCGCCTCGACGCGTCTTTTTACACCGCCATCGCTATAAACTGTCTCTGCTGCAGGCCGTCGGGCACGTCTTTCGCTTGCGCCGAACACAGATCCGGGGTGCCGGACAAGGACCTGTTGAGCTTCGCGTCCCCCATGCTGAAGCTGAAGATGGACACCAGCGAGGTGATGCGGTCGATCTCCATGCCGCCGCCGCCGCCTCCCTCGAGCGGCCTCTCGGCCTCAGCCTCCTTGCTGACGGCGTCCGACAGCAGCGTCGCGTCGTCAAGAAAAACGGAATCGTCGCCCGCTTCCTCCTCTAAAGGTTTGCTTTTCTTCGGCAGGATCGACTGTACCGCCTCCTCGGTCTCCCACTCTGCCACAGCCCGTCGCCTCTTCAGCGAGTTGCTACGCTCGCGGAGCACGTTCGAACTCTTGTCCAGATCCAAATAAGTCAACTCGGAATTAACCGGGGGATGGTTCTCCTTGTCCTGGTTCTCGGAGCACTTGACGCACTGCTGCGGCTGCAGGAACTCGCTCGAAGACGACTCCGAAGAGTCCGCCGCCTCGAGACCCGCCTCCTCGGCGGTGAGGCCCACCAGATCCTCGTGCGGAGCGACGGCGCGAGGTTGGACCGGCACCCGCACTTGCTGCTGCTGTTGGTAGTGGACCATGTTGTACGCCTCCTCCATGAAGATGTAGCGCGCCTTCTGGAGCACCGTCGCGACGAGCAGGTTCTTGTGCAGGCTGACGCCGCCGCGGTGTTGCCTACTCTGCGCGATCTTGTTTAGCGAGATTCCGATTAGCCTCTCAGCCTCGCTTGCCATCTTGATGTGAAACAGTTTGAACCGATCTTTCGAACACTAACACAAACACAAACTTTCTCTGTCTCTTCGCCACCGAACTTTCGACTAAAATGCAGGGGAGCGCTCCTCCACTCATACTTATAGGTTCCGTTCGTTCGACGTCACAACCTACTTTCGACGTGTCGTTCGCCAATGAAACGCGGCCTTGCCGATCGTCTCCGAGTGAGGTGAGCGATACCGACGAGGTGCTTTCGGCTCATTATCCGGCGAGTATTCCCTTCATTTTAAGCTTTATTAGCGATCGCGTTAGCGACGATTAAAAGCGGAAGTCGATGTCAGAAAAAATTCGTCTTGTATACGTACGCGAGCATACGAGATTTCTTTGTCTGATATCTGCCTACCTAATGCTCACTTGCCTACTTGATCGTATTTACCGACGTATTATTATAATCAATCGGCGTTACAACAAACGGATTTTTTGGTAGATTCTCGCCAGAAATGATGATTCACCATGGAAAACAAACAATGGGGAATTAGTAATCGGGATTACTAAGCGCCGGTCATTTCAAGCAAATTAGATGACTAAATATAGCAAAAACGATGAACATCTGAAAAAAAACATCATTTGTTGAATCCTAGAAGGTATCAAGAACTATTCAGGATCTAAAAATAAAAATAGAAACGCTGGAAAACTACTATATTAAAAAAAAGCTCTTCTTCATATTGAAACTTAGGTTTAAAAAATAAATAGATAAAACTACATTCCATGTAAACAGATCGACAGCACAGTCTTAAACCATAATTAATATCTGAAGTAATGCTTCTGAATCAAAAACCATTAAGTAAAGAAATTAATGTCTTTTTTTTTTTTTCGAAACTATACATATGAATGCCGCTGCCAACATTACAAGCTTGCTGCAAAGCGTGTTGCGTAGCTTCAATCTATGACCTACTCTTATATAAAAATGGTTCGTGTATCACAGTTGAAGGCAGTATTTTTCGAATTGAATAACTAAAAGTCTTACAAGTTCGAACTGAGAAAAAGTAATCAATAAAAACTGACCAAACCGACTATATAATCGATCGATGCCCTACAGTCCCTACACAAAGCACTTTTAGGATTGGAATTACATGAATATCAATTATTATTATATCACATCCCTTAGTGAGGCTTCGTTCTGGATATAAGGTACCAACATCTTGAAATATATGAAAGGTACAAAACATTACGAGTTGTGATGTTACACAAAGCTTCAAATTTGCAAAATGAAATATAAAACAACTCATCTCCAATAGAAAACGTGAAACTCTTCACCGTTTAAACATGAAACAACACAACATAAACTTTTTATTCTTCTTTCAAGATATCAAAATCATCATCTTCAATCTTAGAACTGCAGACGGCTTTAAATCACGTCTTAGAACCATTCTTATTGATTGTTTTCAATAAGAAATTAAGGGTAAGCCGTGACATCTGTCGGCAGAAAGTTTAATTGATATAACGTTCTGCCAACAGATGTCACTGTTCTCAATATCGAGCCACATTTTCCGTCAACAGCAGACAACATTTCCAAATATTCTTCAAGTATGACAGTTAGCCTCCAAAAGCGAATGGGTCACTGTGGTTATTGAGCTATTATGAACATCTGTGACATATTTTGATGATGCGCTATCATTTCATTCAATACTGAGGAAATAAACAAGACTCAGATATCTGGCGCCCAACGTGAGGAGAATAATACAAATATTTAAATATGTAATAGGAATCGTGCATATCTCTCCGTTTTCAAATATTTTGATTTCAACATGACCCCTAATGAAGCTGTCAAAGAACTGCTTGGAAGTACAAATGGAACTGAGTTCTTCGTAATACAAAATTGAAAATGCCTAATTCCATTATTAGACCTTCCAAAAAACACCCCTGACGCCATCTAGTGGACAAATGGATTGTTACTGCCCTTAGTTTTGCTTTTTTTATAGAGAGGGCACTACGTTTGTCAAAATTAAAAGGCCTCATGCTTTTTACGGACCGCCTTTAGTGTCATTATGGATGATCGGCAGATGAAATGAGACGTTGAGTGATGAAAAAGTATTCTACAAAAAACCTCGACTCTAGTAAACGGTGACTCGTAAGATACTGTAACAGGAATCTGATAATAGAGTGATAGTATGGCAAATCAGAATTTAATTGCACATCTCACGAGTTTTTCACAGGCCCTAGAGCAAACGAAATCGATTCCTCCCCGTTTCAAATAGAAGTGACATTACTGTACCTCGTAAGAGCTCTCTACTACTCCCTGTCTAATCGATACATCTACCTCTAACTCATCGGCTCCTCCAAGAGACTACTCCATCTACAATTCGTCGTGTGCTCCGCTCTTGGCGCTCTTCTGTGTGGGAAATGCCCAGAACGACGAGGCGAACCCTTTAACATCGCGCTCCCTCTTGACGAAGGCGCTGAACGATGAAACGCAGTTCCCTACAAAGTGGTTCGACTTGCCGAGTATGGCGAGATCGACGTGCGGATTCGACTTCGGATACTTGTAGACCTGCACGTTCATCCTCTTCAACGCCGACCGCAGCTCGTCGATCATATGGTTGCTGTCCGAAGCTACGAAGACGGACCTCACCTCGTTGTCGCTTTTGTTGTTGATGTTTTTTATCGTCCGTTTCAGCTGCCTCACGATAGTCTCCTTAGTGGGCAGGCACATGTCGGAGGTGGCTTTGCCCTTCTCGTTGCGATATCCTACGCACTGCGCCGCCGCGAACAAGCTCGGGCTCTCGGGGATGTGTTGGCAGGCGCGCACCCAGTCGATGCCGTTGCGCAGGTGGATGCCGACGAAAGCGCCTCTAGGTAGCACGTTGGTGATGAATGAGTGGGCCTCATCTTCGACGAGATCAGACCATCGCAGGTATTTCTGCAGGTGCTTGTTTTCTTCTTGGACGGGGAAACTGGCTGGAGCACCTAGAGCATTGGGAAGATCAATATCTTAGTAATAAGCGCAAGGAGTCGGAGTCCTATACCCATTGCCTTTGAAATAGTTCGATATCATCTAGTGTAAACAAGTCACAATTTTACCAATGCTTACTAAACCTAGTAGGAGGAAAAGAGTGCTTACTTTTGCTGACAAAGGAGAGGGCCTAAAATCCTACTCATGCAATACTTAAACAGCCCCCATGACATCACTCAGACTCCAAGGTATAAATAGAACATAATACAAGAGCTGTCACCATAATCTAAATGTATGCATATTGACAACACCCTCATCAGTGGAAATTATAAATTTTTTATTCTACATTATACAATCATTATTGTATTTATTTACCACTGACTAGTTCTATTCTGATTAAAAACTCAATTATTTATAATGATTATCAGATATTCAATTATTTGTTATGAATAAGCTACTATGTCTTCATTTCTCTTTTCATTATGATTCATTATGATTATGATTTTAATAAGTTTGAAATCAAAATAAATCTATTTACAAAAAGTCAGTTTTGTTGTAAAAATGCGTGGGATGCTTTAAATTATATTTTTATTATGGCTTCAATCTGGCAAACAGCTCCTAACAAATTTATGACAATGGATATGTCACAAAATGTTACGATGTAGGAATATGTAAGGATATGTACAAAATACAAACATACGGTCACGAACAACATCGATGGAAAACAGCACATTCCAGTCACCAAACAAAACTCCCAAAGACAGTATTAAACATCTGACTAACCTGTGAATGCTAAAACTGGCCACATCTTGGCAGGATACCTATCTTTCCACTGTTTCGCCATATCGTGGTGGTACATATCGTAATGGAGAGGTCCATAAAACTCCGATCCAGTAAATTCCACATCATAAGTATCCCAAAACGGACCGAACGGATTACCATCTTTGGCATTACAACTTTCCCCAGAACCTGAGCCAAAAGATTTTCATTGAACTGAGCCATCTTATCCAATATAAACAATGGATTTCTTACCCCTTGCCATGTAACAAAATGATTTTCGATCATTTCTTGGCCACTCATAGGGCGCGATATCTTTCATGAAACTTTCCATTGTGACAACTTTGTGGAATTTCTGCAGCGGTTCCACTTTGAAGTATGTATCGAAAGGTACCTGAATGGACCGTGGTTCGCCATAACGGTATTCCACCCAAGCGGGTAGTACTAGAGTTCTGTTTAGGCCACGAGCAAAACCTAAAGCCCCCAAGAAATGGTCCGCTTGGTTACCAAAACGACCTGAAAGCAGTTTTAATGATCACAGATCATTTCTATTATCCCATTAATGAACCATATCTCACATTGAGATACAGTCAATAGTTACAGCCACACATTTATTCAATTTTGGCAATATATCTTCTGAGGTTACCTCATGAAAACCGGCAATATCTCAATGAAGTGATTAGAAAAGTAATACCCAAATATCTACCAAAATATGTCATGGACTTACCCATGCAAGGGCAATACAAAACATATCCAAGAGGATCAAATCCCAAAGCAAAAGACAGTTGGAGCAGTACAAAAAAAAAATATTTATTCAACGAAACCATATTAATTTAATTTCCTAACCGCGCCAATAAAAATACTCATAATCATTCTGTGATGAAGGAGTATTGGCGGTTTTTGACCCTAATTTCAGAATTTAAATTATTTTTATTGAAAATATATATGACGGTTAGCATGACATTTGTCACTTGTCACAAAATACAGGTACAAGTTTGCTATGTTCTGTGTTCACCCACCATCCATCAATTGCAATTTGATAATTTGTGGACTACATCAAAGAAAGAAAGATTACACTATGAAAGATGAGATAAAATGTGACAAATAATATTTTTTCAGGAAAGATCAATCTCTCTCTCAATGTTTTTGGCTTTTGCTTCCATTCAGGTACATTAGGCCATAAGGAAATATTAGTTTTTATGGAAACCCAGAAGCGTGTGTCTTGGAAATTTCGACTTTAATCTCAAAATTTCGAATTGACCCTTCTGCACTTCCGTTAGTTTTTGGGAAAAAAGCTTTTTGGCTTCAAACTTCATAAAAAAGTAGGAAACTTCCAAGGTTGATTGTTTTTTATTCCTTTCTTCCTTCTAACCGCTAGACGGTTGGAGGTCCATGGACACAGATTAACCATGGACATAACAGCTATGGAGTTTCGTTGATCATTCCAGAGATACTCTCATGTTGCACTGACACTACATTGTTACAGATGTTGTTGCACATCTATCAACATGTCTATTTTTTTCCGTCGATTTTTTGATAAAAAAAGCAAATTTGTTAACTTAACACCAGGGTTTCTTTCTACACGGAATTCTGTGGTTTCATGCATCTAAGTAATAATAAAAAGAAGAAAAAGTTGGGTTATATTATTCGGACACTGTTTACTATTTACAATGACATTATTATCTATGACTATTTCTTATTTAATACCTTGAATCGAACCTGAATTTTTGTAATACAAAAATAACTGACTCCGAACTCTTCCTACCCTCATCTAAATTTCTAATCAACCCATACGATGTGAAAATTATGACACAATCACAAAAGGCTATTTGATCAACTGCAATAATAAAGTCGTATGGATAATCTGGAAATACCTGGAGTTAGCAACATGAAGGGCAGGAGTTTTTTGTCGGACCTGCAGAAAAAAGCTCTGCTGAATTTCATGGAATCGGAGCCCCAGCTTTGTAAAGGAAAATTTACTCGTGAATTCACACATCAAGTAGCCAAAGACAAGTGGTTAGACATAGCAAGTCGGCTGAATAGCATACCCGGTGCCTACAAAGATTGGCTGCAATGGAGAAGAGTTAGTATCTCTCGTTAATGACTTGTTCGGTCATCGTATAAGATCTTTATTGATTTCAGACCTGGCAAGACATGAAGAAACTGGTGAAAAGAAAGAGGACACTCTGCAACGTTATTCTTGCTCAAGATGAAGAGAAAATACTGAGCTTAATAGGAGATGGCGAAGATGAGAGCGAAGATTCCAAAATGGTGAAGTAACTTTTATAACTTTGTTAGTTTGGCACTTCTTTCCAAAATTATATGGATTTCATGAGTAAAATTCATGGTTGATGTGTTCAGAGAGCATTCTCTTACATATTGTTGTATGGAGAATTTCAGCATCTCCAAGATAGGAAATTGTTTCAAATAACAAATTTTGTTAAAGAAAGATTCAATGTCATCAATAAATAAATCGAAGAGGGATCTTTGAGGATCCCACTCTGGGAATATTCTACCAGCTGTGAAAACTTACATTGTTGAATATATAAGTAAGAAAAAATAAAAGTGTTTAAAATAAGTCGTTGGAGTGTTATGCTCAGTCAACATAGTACTGATATTGTTTCTTGTGAAGAAAAAATATTATAAATCATATGAACATGCTCTTTCAGGATACAGGAGGACCAGAAGTCCAATCAGAGCAAGAGTTGATATATGTAGAATACGTTAACTCCCACACCGATGGAGAAACAAAACCCGACGAAGAACTGCAAGATGGATTCAAACGGAACTATGAGGTAGACCAGGATTTGGATGAGAGTGCATATTATTCTGTCAAGTCCAACCGGCATTTCAAAAGGAAGAGACCAGTGACACTTGCAGAACGGAAATTGAGAATGAGGGAAACCTATTGTCGAGAGAAATTGATGGTGATGCGGAGGTATTATCAAGAGAGGATTAGAGTAGAGAGAGAAATTGCTAAAAGTAGTCAGCGAATCGCTTGTGCGCTAGAACAGTTTGTGACAAGATCTTTTCCTAAATGAATGCTGTTTTTTGTGAAACAGTCTTATTTAAATAAACATTTTTACACCATAGATTATTTCTTCTCTCTACCTTGGATTTTTGATTATATATCCACACAATAAATATACATTAAAGTTGGATCTTTCCTTTTATAGTAGTAATAGTGTAGATGAAGGACATGCTGAAGAAATTTATTTTTCATTTTGACTACACCAATTCTGAAATTTGACAGAACTCATATAGTGTCGTGTGACACTAGGGCACCACCAGTTTTCCAAATGGAAAACACCATTATTTGAAATCTGACAGTGACAGCTGTCATCTTTCATCTTATCTGTCATTTACGATGTTTACATGGTGTTCCGAAATTGGAGTTCCTAATTAATTGAGCAAAAATAATTAATAGAATTACAGAACAGCTGTGCTACATCATGGAACCCCGTTGTCGCCTCTGTGCGGAATGTTCTAGAGACCAACTAGAAATCTTACAAAACCCTCAATTCTGTTTGAAAATTTTCCAGCTCTTCCAAATCAAAGTGTCGGTGGAGGACAATTTGCCCACTTCCGCTTGTCCCGAGTGCTATGACATGGTCGAAAATGAGTTCATTTTTGAATTGAGGAACACTACTACCAAGCCATCTTCATACAAAAAAACGTGCAAACCTTCTAAAAAGAGAAAGAAAGCAACTCGTCTCAAGAAAAATCCCCCCTTAAACAACTACTTTCATTGAAATTAGTTGTCATTTACTTCAAATTGAATACCACTGCCGAAGTGTAAAGTTTTGGTCTGTCAGTCCGTATGATGTAGGAATTAAAAGTTGTTTTTTCTTACAGTTTGAGTAAATTCATACGTTTATTATCCAACATTTTGTAATGCTGCCGACTTGCTTTAGTGTTATTGTTCATGAACATTTTATAACCTTTGTCTCCTTGCTAGAACTAATTTTGGTTTCCATATCATACCATGTAATATATAATTTGGGTTCTATCTGTAAGAAAGACGTATATTATAACGTGATGATCATCTTCAGGTAACCTGGACAACCACCTGCTGACACACACTGCGGCACGCCCCTTCAACTGCGACCTCTGCGGCAAGGCGTTCAAGACTCTGGTACGTCTGCGCAAACACGTCTCCGTCCACTCAGGCCTGAAGCCCCACAAGTGCGACACGTGCGGCAGGCAGTTCCGAGAGAGGGGCACGCTCAAAGAGCACCACCGCATCCACACGGGGGCCATGCCGTTCGCGTGCGAGTTCTGCGGCAAGTGCTTCCGCTTCAAGGGGGTGCTTACCACGCATCGCAGGCAACACACAGGTAGGGAATTTGTGTCTATTTATAAAAATATTGTTCGAAGTGAACTATGACAAAAAGTCTTATTGGTCAAAGAATGTGAACTTTCATGGCTGGAAATAACTGTCTCAGAGTCATTTTCCGGTACTGCAGTAGGCAGTATCGATGGCAAATTTGTCTCTGTGCATGGCTTCGTTTCTCCTAATTGAACTACCGGACCTTGTTTGTGTACAATTGAGAACAGGTAGCCAGACTTCTTTAATGTTAATTGCCTCTTTCTATTTAAATTATCCCCGTGTTTCTGAGTTCATGTCTCCTTTATGTATCCTTGGATAGTAATTTTGATGTGCGTTTTCAGGGGAGCGTCCGTATTCGTGCAACGAATGCCAACACCACTTCACGAACTGGCCGAACTACAACAAGCACATGAAGCGTCGGCACGGCATCAACACGAGCGTCACTTGCCGGACGAGGCAGGACATCCCGCCGACCGGTATGCCCCACCGTAACCCTCCGGGTACTGTTCTGGCCGCCCCGCAACCCGTCGTCGTGCCCGAGAACTTCGTCGAGCCCCCGCCGACCTTCTACCCCGTACTGAATCTCTACAATATTCCCGAAGAGCTGCTCCAGCAAAGGGTGGGAGTTTGAATGAAAGGTTTCCACAATTTCGCTAGACGTGAAGGATTTTTGTCAGTGTGGTTGACTGGGAGTTCTGTCTTTCTGTTGCCGCTTTGAGTTCGAAATTTATTGATTTCATTCACGGAATTACGTTGATTCGACACCCAACAGTGATAAAGGTTGGAAGTAGGTGATAAACTGGTGAGGAGCTACAGTTTATATGTATTTGTTAGGTACATGTCTTACAAAACCTTTTTTTCTCATTTCCGGAACTGTAACACTTTTTTTGACGAGAGTTTAGCCAATAGCATTTCCCATGTGATTAATTCTATGCCAGATGTTTTAATTTTTCCTTTCGGAATACATGTCATTCAAAAACTGATGAAATGTATAAGCAAAAATATACAGAGGTTTCATTCAGGTTGACCAAGAAATGCGACATTCTAATTTGAACTTGAAATTCAGGAAAAACATTGTTTATCATAAACTGTGCAGTCACAAACATTCAAATATTGATTTTTGATTTTTTTCTCTTTATTTTTTCATATAAGTGTAAAATGACTGGTAGATTTTGAAATATTGTTCAGTGAACTAGCATAACTAAAATCCACCAGTTTATAGAAGAGTTCAAATTAGTAATCAAATGAAAAAATCAATTCCAAATCGTAAACCAATTGTTAAATTTACGTGATTTCACTATCAAACTTTCACTGAAGTGATTTACTCAAACCTAGTTTAGTTTGTTTTACAGCTAGCGCCCCTCTAGGCAATGCTTGCCACCTTGTGGCAAAGATTGCCATAAGATAGCGCTAGTGGCGAAGCAAACTAAAGGAAAAATAGGAAATGATCGTCACAAGGTGGCGCTAGTGACGAAGGTAACTAAAGGAAAACTTGGAAGTGAACGCCTCAAGATGGCGCTAGCGGCGAAGCAAACTGAAGGAAAAATAGAAAATGATTGTCGCAAGGTGGCGCTAGCTACGAAGCAAACTAAAGGAAAACTTGGAAGTGAACGCCAAGAGGTGGCGCTAGCGTCCCACTAAAATAGGGCGTTTGAGTCTAATTTTCAGAATTTTACACCAGTAATTACCTTCTAATATATATGTTTTATATACAGAGTTCACAATGTCACTTTTTATATATATTAAGACACCACCTGTATTTCGACTTTTTGAGTCACAGCGTACCTACTATATTGTAATTAGGAATTTTCAGTTCACTTTCTTCAATATCATTGGTTATTCTGGATTCACTTAGTAATATAATTTTTGGGTTGTAGCAAACTAGACTTCCTTGTAATTGATTTTTGTTTTTAAGAAGACTTTGAATATTTAGGTATATGTCAGTGTTTAATTGTATATTAGAATTATTTTCTACTTTTTTGAAGGATTATTTCAAATTTTGTTGACAATCATGGGTTTGTTATTCATATATTTTATTGTTTTTGAGTTGTCACCGTTTTCAAGGTGGCGCTAGCTACGAAGCAAACTTAAGGAAAACTTGGAAGTGAACGCCTCAAGATGGCGCTAACGGCGAAGCAAACTAAAGGAAAACTGAGAAATGATTGTTACAAGGTGGCGCTAGCGGTGAGACAAACTAAAGGAAAACTTGGAAATGATTGTCGTAAGGTGGCGCCAGCTACGAAGCAAACTTGGAAGTGAACGCCTCAAGATGGCGCCAGCGGCGAAGCAAACTAAAGGAAAAATAGAAAATGATTGTCGCAAGGTGGCGCTAGCTACGCAGCAAACTAAAGGAAAACTTGGAAGTGAACGCCTCAAGATGGCGCTATCGGCGAAGCAAACTAAAGGAAAAATAGGAAATGTTTGTCGCAAGGTGGCGCTAGCTACGAAGCAAACTAAAGGAAAACTTGGAAGTGATCGCCACGTGGTGGCGCTAGCGGCAATGCAAACTAAAGGAAAACTGAGAAATGATGATCACAAGGTGGCGCTAGCAGTGAGGCAAACTAAAGGAAAACTTGGAAGTGATTGTCACGAGGTGGCGCTAGCGACGAAGCAAACTAAAGGAAAAATAGGAAATGATTGTCGCAAGGTGGAGCTAGCGACGAAGGAAACTTGGAAATGAACGCCACAAGGTAGCGCTAACGGCGAAGCAAACTAAAGGAAAATTAGGAAATGATTGTCACGAGGTGGCGGTAGCAGTGAAGCAAACTAAAGGAAATCTGGAAAATGATTGCCATAAGGTGGCGCTAGCGGTGAATCATACTGAAGGAAAACATGGAAATGATTATCACGAGGTATCAAGGGCTTTGACTTTGAACTATACGTAGAATGGCCCAATTGGCTTGTTTTATCATCCTTCAAAGGCAATAGTTGTAGTGTCAGCGCAACAAGTTTGAGTGTCTACTAATAATATGTTTTTACTGCAATAACGGTTTTTGATTTTATAATACCTGACGCCAGCAAAAGAACATACCTATTATTTAAAGGTAAAAGTGAAAACTCTGGCGTAGAATAAATCTAAAAACAAGCACCTTTCCCTATCGCCAAAACTGCAATACTCTTTTTGACGTTTTATTAACCTAGTTGGCGTCTCCAAGACTTTCGAAAGCATCCAAAAATATAGTGTCATGTGCCGATGTCAACAATTTCAAACACTTATCATTCATTGTATGGCCGTTCTCCTAAATTTTTCTGGTCTTCAAAATTGGATATGAGCTGCGTGAAACGAGTTTCAATGGCAACATCTTGTCTTTAAAGTAATCTAAGATTTGTTGAAGTGGCAAGAAGTTTTGAAGGCCACTTACACTTTCCACATTTTAAAAATAAGATCAAATCTATGTATCTTGGTTTATATGGATGGACAATACACTTTGAATGGACATCTTTTTGAAAAGTCGAAAATTTACGAAGATTCTTGCTTTTAATGATGATTTTGCTGTGAAAATATTATGAATGAGGATTCAAAACGAACCTTTAAACTTGCAACCATGAATTTGGTGAATATTTTAAATTTCATCAGTATAAAAAGGTCAAGCGATGGGTAGACTTCATGTTAAAGAACAGGTATGTATTCAAATAACACTTGATTTTCACTCAACAATTTACAAAATCGCAACAACTGTTTCACTAGACAATACCTTTCTCAGGCTCATTCATATTGGTATTAAGCTATTACTGGTGTATAATGAAACACGTGTTGAGTATCAGTCGTAGCAAAGGAAACTGTACATTCTATGGTTTTATTTCATGTTATTGAGTCATTTACATTTTTCACAGAATTTTATCGGACATTTACAAAAACATGATTTATTTAATATTTTATGCTCATTTCTAATTTTTGGAAAACTCTTGTGTGCAGCTATATTGCTATAGGACATAATTATATGTATCATAATGATATTTTGTGTAGATAATAAAAAAATATTGAGTTTTTCACGAGCTTTAATTCAGCAATTCTTCCAGGTAGGTATTTATATATTAGACATGAAATATTTTCAAACCAAGCACTTTTGCCAATCAACACGAATGCATGCGTTTCATCAATTAAGTTAGTGTCTTCAGTTTTTCTTCATTTCTATATTTTACGAAGGAATTATTGCCAATAATGAATTTCCAAAGGGTATTGAACAATTTTCCAACAGAGAAAAATTCAAATTGACTTCAAAAAACAATTTGTTGTGTTAATCAACATTATCATAAAGTATTACACTTTATTGTGAGGTTTTCACCATTTGTAAAATTCATTTAAAAATATTGAAAAGTGGAGATATAAATCTGAAAGGACATAATAATTGAAAACATCATTTTTCATTTACTTTATTTACAGTTTCTCATTAATAAATATATTGCATCACAATAAGAAGTATTGCCGGGCGTAACACAACACAAAAACTAAAAAGTCGCAACTTCAAATATTCTAAGACAAGAATTTTTTCATTCTCATTTCAAGTTTTTCGTTTCACAACATCGTCAACTTTATCTTGATGATAATCTATCTCGTCTATTAAAAAACTAGCCAGAGTCTGAGGATGCGGATCCACTTTTAGAAAATCCGAGATCAAATTCTTGGGATTTTTCCCTCCGCCGTGACTCAAGCACTCTAAACGATATTTCTCCCCATTCGCTCTACTAAAAGGATCCTTTTCAAAGTAGTTCTTCCAAATGGAGTGCGCCAGCGCTCTAGACACCAAATACGAGTAGTACTTCGCCCCGTAACCCACCAAATGACTGAACCTCAGCTGCCAAGCAGTGTTGGGCACGTAAGACATGCAGTAGAAGTCCTTCTGCGTGTCCGCCAGCACTTCTGTGGTAGTACCCTTCAAAGGATGGACTCCGTGGTACTTCTGGTCGATCACCGAGTAGAAAACCTGCAGTTGAGTCTCGCTAGCAGTGAACAAGTGCTTCGAAGCGCACAGTCTCCGCAGCATATCATCCGGCATGGGCTCCTGCGTCTGGAAATGCCTGGCGAACCTCTTGAGCACCCTGTGATCCGAAGCAAAGTACTCCATGAGGACAGAAGGAACCTCTGCTAGGTCCGTGCTGCACCGGGTACCACTCACGTGCTGGTACTGCGTCCGCGCGAGCATGGAATGCATGGCGTGCCCCATTTCGTGAAACAGATTGTCCACCATGTTGGGGCTGAGTAGCGAGGGGCTGGACCAGCGCGGCGTCGGTAGATTCAGCATCAACACGACCACGGGGGTTTGGTAAGTACCGTCAGGCAGGCTCCTGCCGCCCCGTATCGTGAAGTGGCAGTCTTGATTTGGCTTGCCGGAACGCTCGTAGAAGTCGCAGTAGATGTACCCCAGTAAGCCTTCGGATCGGTGAACGACGGCGAGTTTGTACACGTCCGAGAACCAGCCCTCGCCTGGTGCCACTTCTGTGTTGACTAACTGTACCTCGTAGAGAGACTCGAACAGGAGATTCAGTCCGTCCATACAAGCTCCTAGAGAGAAATATGGGGAATACTCTTTGGCCGACACGTTGAACCACTCTTTCTTTGCCTTGCTGGTCAAGTATGGCACGTCCCACGCCTGCACGGGACCTCTATCAGAGTCTTCCCAAGATTTCATCTTCTTCATGGTGGCAAAGTCCGCTTCCGACCTGGCCCAAATTTCCTCCGATAGCTTTTCCAGAAAGTGCATCACGTGCTTCGGGCTGTCGAGTATGGCCCCCCTCAAAGCTCTGGTACTGTACGTTGCGAACCCGCAAGTCTTGGCCAGCTGGTCTCGGAATTCCAGCAGTCTATTGAGCAGCTTGTCCTGATTGGGATCCGGGTGCAGGAACAGTTTGAAAGCCATTTCGCGGGCCACAGAATCTCCCGAGTCTGTGTAGAGTCCTGACACCGAAACAGTGTCGCCGTCACTAGTCAAAACGTTCCTCACGTTGCTTGGAAGAAGGGACTTTTGGACCACACGAGGAGTGGAGCAACCAGCTACAAAAAGTTGGCCTAGATTGAGGATGAGATTGGTTAGAGCAACAACCTTATTTCTGTCCGACTCTGGTAGGTGAATCCCGCACTGTTCAAAGTCTAGGAGGAAGAGCTCCCCCACGTGCTTATCCACCACGCTGTTTCTCCCAGCATCTCCCGTTGTAACTGCTTCCTTCAAGGCTCTGTACAAACCAAGATTCGTGTTGAGCTTCTCCACGACTTCGCTCACCTATTGAGACAAAAGTAATGATATATTCTTTATTTCAATAAACATTTATATATACAACACACTGTATACATATCTATGGTACATAGTTTGTTGGTGAGAGGTATTTTAGGACCCCCTGGTAAGTAAAATCAAGAGAATCGTGTCGACCATCATTTAAAAGCAATGAAATATGGACAGTTTATTCGACGGCTTGGTTCATAGCAGTCATCAGACTTATTTCAATTTCACTTACCGTCTCGCAGGCACTTTCAGCAGCGCGACTGTAGCTTGGCTCAGGATGTGCTAGCCTGACGAATTCTGCGAGGTCCGCCACTTGGCACAGGGAGTCCGACATTTCGTCAAAAATCTGGACCATTTTCTTGGGACGGGACGGATCCAGGGCCTCTTCTATCAGAGTATCCGTTTGGCTCACGCATTTCTGTTGCAGCTGATGGAACCCTTCGGAAGACGACAACTCGGGGATGCCGAATAAACCTACAGAGTCTTGACGAAAGCTGAACTTTTGAGTTGGTCTGGCATTGAAAACTTCCGCGAGAGGAGACCAGATCGACACGCAAGCTTTCGGGAAAGCTTTGACTACTTGCCTGGTTTTGAACGCTGACTTTCGGTACATGACGGACGTCATTTTGCATAATTTTATAAATATAAAAATGAATTTTTACGCAGTCGACTACCTTTAACCCTCAAAGAAAACATTTTTTATTTATGCCATTAACCTAACCTATAGGAAGCGTTTGACATGAAACAGTATTTAATTAGTGCTGTTCCATGTTACAGTAATTTAATGCGGTTCCATGTCACAGTGACAGCAAGGGTTTGTTATTAAGTTTGTTCTGGTTCAAACATCCGAAACTGTTTGGAAACTGCGCTAGACATGATGCGTACAAACAAAAAATCTCAAACAGTCCGAAATAGTCTCGGTCACTTGTTTAAACCAGATCGCTTTTGAGGAGACCACTGTGCCATCTATCGTATATATGAAGAGATGAAGACGAGAAAATACTATTGACCATGTTCATTTTGTTATGTAACGTATCCTTATGGTCAGTTCAAATGTTATCTACCGTCAATCATCAATTATTCAAATCAAATTTAAAAGAACATCCTAGCAAATGTCCCAAACAAATTTCCACACGAATGCGCATGAGCAACTGGAACAGTTCAGCGTCGATAGCAAGAACAATTCGGGACGGTTCGAAACAGTTTAGGATCATTTCGCAGTCGAAACCAGAACGCTCTATATTAACTGCGCATGCTCCTGACGTCCTAAAAACCGAATTTCGTAGAAACAGAACAAACCTATTTTAAAAATAAGTTTTATTTTCATTGAATTTGAAAAAGTACTATACTTTCAATAAATCGATGGATTGATAAAACTGTCTATGTTTTTTAACCACTTTAATTTGTTACTATCGTTAGTGCAGTTTCGTCCTATAGACTAATACAGTAATTTTCTGATTGATTCGGCCGTTACTTAATGAAGATCCATATTAATTTGTTTATGGAGATAAATTGTGAAGTGTAGTTTATGAAATTAATACAATAATATTGTATTACTTTGAAATGGAAAAGTGTCAAAGAAGGTGAGATAACATGTATTTTCTATAGTTTGTATTGTGCAAAAGGAAGGCTGAAGAGTTGTAATTGAACATTTACACCTTATTTTTTTAAACAGACCCCATATATATATATATTACTACATAGTAATACAGGCTTTGTTCGTAAAGTATACTTTTCAACAATAAAGTTAACATTTTCTATAAACAATCATAAATAATTCTAGAGGTGACTGTATATAATCTAAAATTCAATTATTTAAGAAAAAGTGTACAATGGTTTGGAACTAAAAACTGAAATACATTATATATTTTGAAAATATAAACATGTCATTAAGGAATATTTGCAATGGTTTGAGGTTTTGTTGTGTGGAAGTCATTTTAGCTCTAACCATCCTCGTCAAAAGTTCTAGCTGTTTGTTATACATTTCCTTCTCAGTCTTATAGCAGAAGAGCATTACTTATCTACCCTATTGTGATTTTCTTCAGCACTACCACTGCTCTCGGACGTATTATCACCATTTTGTAACGTTATATTATTGAGCACAGGAATCAGTTTATCAATATCTTTCGTAACTTTCATGCTATTAACTTTCCTAGAAAACTCATAACAATCCAGATCATAGTAATAGTTATGCACGTTACTAATCGCTTCGTACACATCACTGAACAAAATTTTGTTCATCTGTTCTTTGAGTACAATCAGATAACTGACAAGTTGAGCTGCATAAAGTCTCCTCTGGTCACTCAGCGGCCTCTCGATCCACTGTTTACAAGTAGTTTCCAAAGCATTCTTCAGCATCGAAGACGGAAGATTAAGATACTCTGTCAAGCACTCCGACAAGTTTCTCATATTCGAGAGAATTTTCTTCTTCTTATTTTTTTCGATGAGCAAGTCCACGACTTGCGTGTCGAATATATTTTGAGTGAAGACTTTATAGTTTCGGTAGAGAATGTCTACTAGCGGTCCTGCTTGGTGGATCACTTTGCAGGTATACTCTGACTCGAAGACTTCTTTCAGTTCTGGGTAAAAATACCGCTGTTTGAAATTGATCATGTCAAACAAGTAGACGTGTTTCCAAGTGCAGACTGCCAGTAGTTTCACTACAGCCGTTCGTTTATCATCCATTCCTAGTGCAGCTACTCCAATCGTTTCTGCTTCAGACAGTTTTCCAACCGCTTCGTAGTATCGACTGTCAGCTTTTTCCAGATACACGTAATCTTTGCACATTTGCTTTAATCGCTCATACTCTTCTTCAACTAGTTTTATTTTATTTTCTTCTTCGGGATCTTTCACTTGCGCAGGAGGTTTCTCTCTGACTTTACTTTTCAACTTGTGGATACTTTCTATTTCGCTCCGATAAAACGAGTAAATACCACCAAGTTTTCTGTTGGGATTGTTGTGCTGCTTCGTGTTGGCCAAATCTATGCGGTTTTGGCCCCCAGAATTGTAATCTCCTTCGAATATATCACCACAGCTCAGTTTTAAAATGAGGTAGTCTCCTACATTGTATACATCTTTGTAAGGAGCCTCTGTATCCATATTGGATTTGTTTGATTCGTTGATTAGAGAAGGAACGAGTTCATTTGAAAAGTTTTGAGTTTACAAATCATAAAATTAACTGAATTTAGGTTATATATCTTCTTCTCTTACCTGGGATAAACCTTCAACATGGGTAAACCAAAAACCAAAGTTGTTTTGTATATCATAGAACACGTTTGACGTATGGAATATTTCGTGTTCTGAGAAAATGAAACTGAGGGTAATAAGTTTTAGTTCTGTGGTAATGATCCAAAACAACACAACATAACATAACCTACCTCAAAATGGTTACGAAAATTGAAACGTCAGCAAAACGTTTGAGAAAGTTGTGATAACAGATCGTTTTCTTCCACAGGTTGTTTGTTCCCTCTGCGTTGTACAGGTGAGAGTTTTTGGTGTTTTTTTTTAATCACTTTATCGAAGGTGCATAATTTCACTGAAGAGAAATCAATGTATGAACTTTTTGATTATTGAATTTATTTTGATTGGAAAGAAACTTGATTCTTTTATATTGTATATATTTTACTATACTTGCATTCCAACTACAAATCTGGGTGATGGTTCATTCAAGTAATTTGGTTTGTAGTTTGCCAGTTTTTCGTAGTTTTTTGACATTGGGACACATATGGTAAGGTTTATTTGGCCAAAGAAGAATAACTTTCAAATTAAAGCAATGTGTATTCAAAATTAAGTAGATTACAAATTGATAACTCTTTTATCTAATAATCAACTCGATAAATGAGAAACTGCCATGTTGGAAGATAATTCAATTACAATTTTTTTATTTCCTTCTTTTAAGTCGACAAAATGGGTCAGTCGAAAGCTGGAAAAGTGAAAGAGACTTCAAAGGAAAAGAAACAAAGGCGAAAGGAATTCGAGCAAACTCAAAAACAAGTCAAAACAATCGTTTTGCCGGGATTGGTAGCTGTTTTCATTTTTATTGCTATTTACGTTTATATCAAAACGAGGCCCAGAAGCACCTATATTGACTGATTTCTCAAAGAGAAAGTGTTATTTTTTATGTAAATAAATAAATTTTATATTTGAAAATCGTTTTTCTGCCTAATTTAGAGTTGTGAAATGTTTGTACTGGGTTTTATCGTAATGATAATAATAATAATACAAAGAAAACAACGTTATTTTGCAAATGGTTAGAAATGTGATTTCTTCAATTATTTAAATAAAAGATCAGGATATTTATGCAGACTAGTACGATTGTAAAAAGCTTTTATTCCTGTAGCTCATTTCAATAATAGTTTTACATACGTGTTACGGTGTTTATGTAACATACATTATATTTTTACGTTTCCAGGTAACTTCATCATGAAAAATGAGAAATGGAACTTTCTATGTTTTTTACCATATAGTAACGGGCTACATTGATCAATTTTTCAAAGGTTATGCCTCTGATAATTTCATATTGTAATCATAAATTTGTATTTTTTATATATTAGTGCTGCGCCATTTATCGGACAATAGCTAAAAATAATTTTAGTGCAATCATTGTATATAGACTAACCGAAAAGATCCATGGAAGACAGTTCCTGGCAGGAATCATCCCGCTGTCTTCGGATAAGGTGTTGTAGGACAAATATGTAACGTTTGTCGGTAAGTAAGTATCATTTTCAAAGATTGGAAACTCCACTTCCGGGTCTTTATGCCTAACTGAGGTAGATAAAACATCAGACATGAAAAATGGCTTTGGCACTGATTAGGATTAGTCAACTTTCAATGATTTTTTCAGTGATGGTCGCTCACAAACATATCGTGAACCCGAAGCAGCCTCCGAATGAAGTGTCTCCTGATACTTTGGTCACTGCACTAGTAGATAAAATCGATTTCACAGACTTCACACCGAAGGTAACGACACCCAAGATGACAGGCTTTTCAAACTCTTCCACCTAACAATCTGCCCCCCTTTCAGCCTCAAGAGGGCATTAGGATCTCCGGCCACGTCAGTTGGGTTGGCAACTCTTCGCTGGAAGTTGTGGTGTGGTTGGAACTACGAATGCACGGAACCTGGAATCCTGTCACTAGGGCTTTGTTTTTACTGGCGGCCAGGGATTCTTATAACAGTAAATCGGCAGTGGTGAACGCTGTTCAACCGGCGAATGACAGGGAAATACAGATTCTGTTTGGAGGTGAAGATAGGAAACAGAGGTGGGTCAAGTTACAGCAAAAGCATGTATTGAAGGTGAATTTTTTTGATGATTTTTCTGAAGAACGTTTTCTGAATAATTTCAGTAGAAAAATACTTGTCGGGGATGGTTTTTATCAAACAAATTAGCTTCTGGAATTTGTTTTGCTTGAGGTGCAATCTTTGATAAAGCTTTCCAAGTGGGAAACTGAACTTTCATTGTCATGATATTAAAAAAAGTCTTTCAGGTTATGATATCTCTAACTCGTAAGTTATTCTTGTATGAGGTTTGGTGGACGATATATGGAGAGTAGGCAGATTGAGACCGTGACGACAAGTCACAAAACCTTTAATGGGTATCACTATCTGTTGCGTTGTCAGATTTAGACCCAGATGTCAAGTCACAAAACCTGTTGATGCTTATCACTTCTTGATGAGTTGTCAGATTAAGACTGTTATGTAGTCATACCTTCCAGTTCTTCAAAATGCTGCAACGATTATGCTAAAACGTCGAATAACAATTAAATAATAATTATAACTATAAAACTATATCTAACCTAGGACGCCAAACCTCTTGCAATAGAAAGTATGTGCTGTCGAAGGAAAAGTCAGCTTTGGCAAATTGCAAAATTACTAATTTATTCAAGGGCATTGAGAATATTTGATTGTTAGATTTCCCGCTGCGCCCAGTGGCGGCACATTGCCGGCCATTGGCGTAACTTTAGGGAATAGCTCAACAGTATGAAATCCAAACGACAAGAAAACTACCACATACTGTTATTTGCTGTGTTTATTTCAGGTAATCCCGGACAGTGAAGAACAGAAGATCATCCATGACATCTTCTTGAGGACAGTTAACAATGAAATCAGTCAACGAAACAAGGTTCTTCCTCCGGGTTGCGTATGGATGAACTCTGCGTCGATCTCAAATGTAGTATTCTCCCATCCCGAAGAACGTAATATGCATAATACCGTGTTTGGAGGATTCATCATGGCTCAAGCTGAGGAATTGAGTTGGGTCAGTATAATTTTTCACTAATGCAAGAAATAATTTCTACCTGTAATTTCAATTGTTGAGAACATTTTTAAACGACTTGTTAGTATCGCTTCTGAACTCGCCGCTTGTCTGTACTCCCGAACAACTTCAATATAGTTTGTTTTCCGTGCAGGTTTTGGGCTACATGTTCAGCAAATATCGTCCCTGTCTCAAGAGTATCAGCGACATCCAGTTTCAACGGCCCATCGCTGTCAGTTCTCTAATTCAAATGCATACCCAAGTTGTCTACACGCAGATAAACTACATCCAGATATTGGTGCAGGTGGAGACTTATAATCCCATCACGGGAAAGAACGATTCCACCAACACCTTCCATTTCACGTATCAGGTCCCGGAAATGGTCAACGAGGTCTTCCCGATGACCTACCATGAAGCAATGATGTACATCCACGGCAGGAGATATTTTCAGGACGTCATGAAGAAATCCCCCGGTATTTTTTCTAACAAATTGTGATCTTAGGAATATTTTTTCAAGTATTAAGCCATTTTATGTTGTTTTTAGATTGAATGGGAACCATTGTTACTGAGCTATAGTAGAAACTCTTATAAGAGTTCGTAATATATTCAATAGATGTCGCTTTTGTATGATGGCATGTTGCTCGGCTTGTTCTGCCATTTACATTTCAAACTGTACTTATCAGATGGTACAACTATGCATTGGTTCATTCCTGATCTATTTTGATTTGGCACGCTGTGACCAAAAGAAGCACCTTCATAAAATTTATATTTTGAAAAGCTGCATTCAATGAATCGCTGATTTTTCTGGTGATCACAGCAAATTTTCTCATAAAAATTATCAAAATTCGGAAATTTCCGATAGATGGCGCCACTTACTGATCGCTATTTCGTACCCAGCAATAGTGTATAAATTAAACTCGCCACTGTCATTACTTAGTATTGTTTTTCATAAGGGGGGGGGTTTATGTAATTGCTTTCAGGAAAAGAGTGAAAATAACACTAATCTAAAAGTATTGAGTATCAATCTTTGGAATAGTTGTAAAAGTATTGAGTATCAATCTCCGGAAAGAACGTCTTCTTTGGAATGGTTGCTTGGGACCCTCCCACCATCCCATCTTAATGCATCTTAATTTATTCTTTCCAACTGAGCATTCCACGGCTATCTATAAATGGCGCCACCTGTTGGTTGTCTTAAGAAACATTTGATTTCACACATGAATTGAATCGTTTTGAATCTTTTCCAAGAATCATTTCTTTCCCAAAAGAGCTTTCTATAGTTCATAACAAAACGCCACTCCTAACACTTCTTGCTCAACATCAATGTACATAAATTAGGAAGAAATTTACACAACTGAATTATAGCCAAAATTAAAATGCAACTCGATATGTTGACAGTCCACGTTAGGGGTGGTTGGTTTGGGATGAAACCGATCTTTCCGAAACAACTAGAGCCATCTGCTGGCATTTTGAAAAAATTTTTTATATAAAAAGCTATTTTAAGGAAACTGTAATTTTTCAGAACTCAATTTTGTCCAATGACCCAACAGATGGTGTCACCTACCAATGAGTCGTGCTGCCATCTAAACTTATACCTTTGCACTATTTTGCTGAGCTTTCCTCTACGGTCAATAGAGGGCGCTGTAATATCTAATTTTATTATCGACAAATCGTTAAATCTTTGTATATAGTCTATACACAAAGGTTCAACGTTTCTCATTTTCAAAGGTACAATGCCATTTTTCATTAGGAGTTGAAACTAATATTTATTTTGTGTTCATACTTTTCTAATGGTAGTGCTGTGCCATCTTTCAGTCAGTAGTTAAAACTGATGTTCACGACGTGTTCTTACTTTTTCGATAGTCGTGCTGCGCCATCTTTCAGTCAGTAGTCGAAACTGAAATGTATTATGTGTTCTTACTTTTGCAATTATAGAGCTTCGGTATCTTTTGGACAGTAGCTGAAATTTATTTTCGTATTTTTTCCAAATGGTAATATTGCGCCATTGTAAGGAAACCCAATTTTCGTTTTGTTTTCAATCAAAATAGTGAATCATGGTTTGCAACTCTATACTATGCTATGGAATGTTATATTTTATTTTGAAGATTTGCGTCTTTCTATTAGCTTTCAGTGGCTTTGAACATGAAAGTTGTATTCAGTGGCTACGTAAAATCCGTGCTCAGCTACTTGAAAGCATAGACGAAACAAGAAATGGAAGCAGAAGTACTAATTATTGATCGTGAGAACAATTGTTTAGAATCGGCATAATTAATGAAACATACAGTCATGAAATTTATTATAACCATCATCATTTCGCTTTACTCATAAATACTATCACAATATTACATAAATATTAAAAAATATCATTTCACTCGGTCGTCAGAAGTTTTTATATCTGCCAGATATAAATTACACGTAAATCGTCCGTAAAAAATGCAAAAGTGGGTCCCTTTGTTAATGTTTCACATTCATCTATACTATGTACAAATTATTATACACAAAGAAGACCGGGCTCAATCCGATTGCCACGAACGCCCGACAAGGAAAATGCTATGTACAATTAAAAAGTGGGCCACCCTGTAGAAACTCCATTATGACAAAATGAGTACGTCACTCTCGCCAAACAGTCCCGTTAAAGTTATCACAGCAAGTTCGTAATGGCACCGCCAAACCACGCCAGTACCATCGGCAGGAGGTACGTGAAGAGCGCCCTCGTCAGGGACATGCTACTCGTGGGGGAGGCCGAGGAAGTCAGAATCACCTCTGGTTCTCGGGTGCTGGTCGTCGTCGTTGGCGGGAAGGCGACTCTAACTCGGGCTTCGTCTTCTTCTCCTTTGATTTCTGTGAAGGTGAGGCCTTTGTCGTCCACTTCTTCTTCTTCTGGAGTTGTTTCTTCTTCTTCTTCCGCACCGTCTCCGGAACCGGAGCCACTGCCGTCGAGGACCTCTTCAGTGTCGTCGACCATCTCTACCTGTTGGAGGAAGTATTGATTATTTTCGGGTGGAATTTCCAACAAGAGGAAGCTCATTGTTCATAAACTCACACTGGAGTGGAATATTGATCATACATTAAGTATTCATATGGAAGCTTCTTTATTTTTTAATGAATTTATAGAAGGATTTGATTGTAAGTAAAGAAGGATCATTATTTTATTATTGAATGTAGTCCACTGTGATATAGTGATTTTTAGTGATGATATATTTCATTATCCAGCACCATCTAGTACAAATAAAATACACTGAAAGCGATGGCGGCGCCATCTATCATCAAAAGTTTGTATCAGATTGAAGGTCAGGCTAGATTCCAACTTTTTATTGAAATATTCTTTCTCCGATGTTTGCACAACTTACCTCTTGCCCCTGATGAGCTTTGCGCAACTTATCAGTGAGTCCCTGCAAGATGTACGTCTGTTCGCTCAAGACTGGCTGATCTGCAATGTTGACTTTGGATTGAGACACGTCAGACCTGGTAGCGTTAGTGTCGGTGCTGTTCCAGCATTGTGACGATTCGTTGACGTTGTTCATCAGAGCTAAGTTGTTACAGTACTGGTACGGCAACTGCAGCCAGAACTGCTTGGTTTCTTTTACTTTCTGAAAGGTGTTACGAGTTTAGTAGTGAAATAGTAAACAAAACGGTTCAAGGTGACTTCCTCTCCGATCGCGACAGATGACAGTTGTGCTGATAACGACCGCTCTCAAAGATGGTACGTGGATGTCGTGGTCGGAGTGGAGTCCAAAAGGTGTAAGCTTAAAATGAAGTGTAATTTAAAATGAAGTTATGTTTGAATGAATATTGAAGTGAAATATGAGAGAACTGGCGGCCCCCGACGCCAGTAACCAGGCCGGATGTCGACGAGGTCGTCGTGTAAGTGTTTTTGTTAAAAGAAGAAGTGATTAAAAAAAATAAAGTGGCAGCATAGCTGCGCTCCCAGACGAAGCTTCTTTTCACTATGAACAGGAGGAATTCTATGAACAGAAGCAACGGACACAGAAAGTAGAGAGAGCGAGAAAACACTTCAAGAGGCAATTTTTTTTAAGAAAACTTTGTACATTTCGTTGGGTGCTCCAATTGTGATTAGATGTTCAGCTTTTTCGTCTCTATCTGTTATTTAAAAAACACATTAGTCTCATTTTAGAATGGAAGGTCTGTAGATAGTATCTCAGCTCGCAGAAATTTTGTTGTTTTTTGATTGCTTCTGGAACTAATCAAATACAGAATCATCGCGATGGAAGTGAATGTTAACTATTTTGGCAAGACTAGGATATCCTGTGATTTAGTTCGAATTTTGTTCAAATCGTTCTCGTAGCGTAAAACTAGTAACTATCATCTGTAATTATTTTCTATATTCATTTGAGAACATGTCAATAAGAAAGGTCAACATGTTCCTTGTGGGACAACCAATACTCACTCTGAAGTTTTATAAAAATAACTTTAGTTGAGTGAAAACGATTTAAATAATTTGTACGATTTAAATAATTTGTTAGTAATTCTGAAAGTATTTATAATTCTTGTTCTAGTTCTACAATGGAGATTCGTAGATTTTTCCTAATCAAATCAGTGAATGTCACCTCAAAGAAGCTCCACACCAAAATATCCCCCAGTTTATAATTATCCATAAGTTTACCGACATCCGAGATGTTTTGTTTACACAGGAGACTCTGTTTATTGTGGAAAGAAAAGCAGATGTGGCTACGAGGTGCTATAAAAGAAATCTTGTAAACAATCTCGACCTAAATTGTTTTTTAAATCGATTAGTCCAGACAGACATATTCCTAGGTGATTAATAACCAAAGAAAAGTTTGAAAATTTAACAAATACAATGTCAAGGGGCCTAAATTGAATGTTTGCGTAGGTGTCGAAAACATAATGAGGATGAGCAGTTCAACAAATAAAGAACGTGAGAAAATAAACTAGTCAAAAATAGCTGAAGTGACTCTCACAGAAAAACACACAAGTACCCCAAGTCTCTCTACGAAATATAACAGAAATTAAGTATAGGAATCTCTATAAAAAGGGCTGTCAAAAGTCTTGGAGCAAGTTTATACCTTGAATATTTTGAACATGTAGGAAGCTATACAAGGGTTTCACACAGGACAAGAGACAAAAAAGTTAATACAAAGTTCAAACACAAATGATCACTTTTTAGGTTATCAGCAAAGTTGCAGACTTGCCTAGAAGCTAGGTTTACTCCGGATAGATAAACCAAGAAGAAGAAGAAAAAGAAGAAGAAGAAGAAGAAGAAAAAGAAGAAGAAAAAGAAGAAGAACATAAAATCTTTCAAACCTGCTTAATGTCGAAGATGATCTTCTCCAGAGGCGACTGATCTTCGTTGGTTGCCGGCGCTTTTTTGTGCTTCTTCTTCTTCGGCAGCTGGCTCGCCTCGAACTTGATTTCCATATCCGGATCGTCTTCGGTCGTCTCTTCGTTATCTGCCTCCCGTTTCGGTCGACTAAACGTCGGTTTTCCGCATAAGGTGTAGATCTTCTTCGAGACGTCTGCTCCGCTCTCCTGGAAGTTCATGATCGCCTCGGAGATTTTGATGTTGAGCGGCTCCACGACTATCTCGATGGCGTAAGGACCGAGGAGTCTGTCGCCGACTTTGTCAATGGCGTCTAAACATAAAAAAATTATATAACAAGTAAGTTCTATTAGTTGTTGAAGTTGCGGTTTCGAATGTGGGAACAAATAGTGCAAAATGGCGCTTTGAGGATCATAACTGTTAGGAAGTAGGTTAAAGGTCGTCTCTGTTGTAGTCTAACACTTGTCTAGTGACATTTTTCGAAGAAAATCCACTTCATCGCACTTCTTTGCAAGGGAATAGGTAGTTTAGCACCAGGATCTCCAAGGGAGGTTGATTTGACGTCATTTTCCTGCAGAGGTTTTATGAAAATCCCTTTTTTGACAGTACTGAGAGTTGTTCCACCTGCGAAATCAACCCATCCATTTTTTATATCCCAAGATACGAATTTAATTCCAGATTATGGCATAATGCTGCCTTGATAGATAGAATAGAAAACTCTGGCATGGCATGAATCTCCCATCGCCAACTGCCAGGAAATTCTGCAACCTTGAAACTTTATGTCATGTGGTTTACTATAATATCACATGACGATTAGATTCCAAACAGTGCATCACAATTAGATTCACAAGTTGCATTCATCGACCTCCATACAGGAAACTTCTTTCAACACTTGTAAACACAATTATAGTAGCCAAACTGCTACGATACAAAAATATCATTGATAAACAAGATCCTGAAGCCTCGAGTTCCGCAACAAGCAGCAACCTTACTTAGATTGTTGATACGATGAACAGGTGGAAAAAGACGCATTGTTTCAAAAGATAGCGACCTCTTTTAATATATATCCGGCACATCTTGACGTGACAACGAAATCAAACAGGCGTATGGTCTAACAGGGTTAAGCAGTCTGCCTAAATAGCCGTCGTTTCAGTGTAACGCATAATACATCACCAGTCGTACGTGCTGGGGAATGTTCCTCAATTTGGGTTATTACAGCAAATGCAAGTTTGAACAAAATAAAGTTGAGTTTAATTCATGAGTTTTTCAAATTCACTTCGAAAAGTATTTAAATTGACGTTTCAAATGTTGGGTTTTAATTTTTAAAGGGATTTGTTTCTAATTCACATATTGGCAACAGCGCCTAATTATTTATATAGAGGAAGATAGGTTAGGTGCACAAAATGTCATGTGTAGTGAATTATTGGTCAACTCAATGGGAAGAAATGGGGAATGGAAAATTGAGTTTTTTCATGAAAAGTACCAAAAGTCTACTGTCAAAAAAGTTGAGGCAATTTGAAATAAATTATGACAGCGTACGTAAGCCCTCTAGATGTTACATGAAAATCAATACGAAATTATGATTTCCACTTCAAAAAAAAAACTCGGGTACCAAATTTCGTGCAAATAACTCATTTTTTGAAAAAGTTATTTCTAAAAAAACGAACAAGGAAATTAAATTTCAACACCCTGTATCTCCGAAACGAAGCATTTCCGGACACAAGTTTATATAGACTTACTTACAATGGGGAATGTTCCTCAATTTGGGTTGTTACGTCAAATGCAAGTTTGAACAAAATAAAGTTAGTTCAATGAGTTTTTCAAATTCACTTCGAAAAGTATTCAAACTGATGTTTCAAATGTTGGGTTTTAAGGGATTTGTTTCTAATTCACATATTGGCAACAGCGCCTAGAATGCTAGGTCGAAGTTCAGGTTAGTAGTATGCTAGAATAAGAAGAATCATGTCAATAGTGTCAAATTAAGGCAAAATATAAATTATAGTTCAATACCACTTCAACAAGCCACATAAACAACAGTTGTTTTGTTATTTATTCTTATAGAGGAAGATAGGTTAGGTGCACAAAATGTCATATGTCACAGAATGTCTAGGAACTCGGAACATAAGTAAACAGTACAGCACGCCTCTGAAATATGTCATCTTTGTTTGTCTCATACAGCTAACAGATTCATTGTCCTTTATTAGCTATAACCGACGTTGCCAAATGGTGAAATAGAAACGAATCCCTTTAAATGTTGAATGCATTATTGCATTCCTCTTTTTTAAGTATTTAAATGATTTTTTAAAGAAAAACGTTGAAATGATAAGTTTAAAATGCGTTGTTTTAGAGCTCTTCTATGAAAACTACTTGATTTTCGTCAGGAGGAACATTCCCCATTCCAACTGAAGCTACTACTCACCAACAAAATTATCCCAGTACGGCGATAGCTCCATATGGTACCTCAAGCACTCCTGCATGGTGCTCGTGCAGTAGAGCGAGCACGGCCCCAGGACTCCTCCTCCTTGACACGTCCCACAGTACCTCATCCTGGCGCTTTCGCGGAAACATCCCTCTTCAACCCTCAGCGCGGTCAACCGCTCCGCAGCGTCCGCTCCCTTCACCAGCGACTTGTAGAACGTCCTGGTGGCCACGAACGACCTCCTCAGCTGCATGCCCAGCTTGTGGGGCACGTCGCCGAAAGGCTTCATCTCGGCCATGTGCGAGGAGACGCAGTCCAGGTAGGCGTCGTCAAAAGTGTACTGCGCGTTGATGACGGTGAACATGCGCTGGTAGAGGATGCCGAAGAAGGTGTCCATCGTGTCGGAGAGACGGACGGTGCCCTTCTTGTAGTACATCTCCAGCTCGTCGAAGAAGTCGCTGAAGACGTCCGAGTTCTTCAGGTAGATCTTGCCGTAAGTGCGTTCGAACATCTCGTGGAACTCCCTCTTCGATTTCTTCATCATACTCTGGAACATGTCTGGAAGAAGAATTTACATTTCACCTTCACAAACGCTACGCTTATGTCAAATAAGACATAAGTCGAAGAGTAAACACATGAAGTCTTTTGTGCATATTGACTTTTGCAGATTTGCAGACCAGAACCTGCCATGAATTAACTTATCTGTTTTGCTTTCTCAAAAGGGTGTTTAGGAGATATGGCAGATTTTAAAAAAGTGGTAGATTTGGAAAAGGTTGAATAAACTCATTCAAATTGAGCATAATCCTCAAACCAACAAGTCTGACTCAGGCTACTTTTTTCCGAAACCTTGAATAGGTTTTTGTACCAATTAATCTGATATCATTCATAATGAAAACTGACCTGACGCACCACTAAAAGGCTAGTGACTAGTGGATTGAGCCCAATATATAAAATTGCAGGTTTATTATAACTTGCAACTATGCTCACAAGATCAAATAAGTATTCTTAGATTTTTACATATTGAGAGTGTATTCGATAACCAGGCTTCAACATCACTTATGTAGGTATCAAAGAGAAGAAGGATATATGTACGGGGATAAACTCTTGCCTAAAAAAAGCAGTAGTGAAAGGGACAGCAAGGGAGAGGTCTAGTTCTACTGTTATGGAACTTTGCACTGGTTGAGTTACTACACATCTTTTGAATAACAGTGAATATAAAAGCTAAGTCATCTTAGTCCAGGAACAACACCCTTCACAAAGTCATAGGTAGAAAGCAATAATTTCTTATTGAATGATTGATATCACGCTTTCTGGAAATAAAAAAGTATACCTCTACGTTCCTTTCCGAGACCACTGTTGTATGTCATTTAAACATCCCAGTTGCCCAAATATCCTCATCTCGTTAAAATCCAAAGTTACCCAGATATCTGTTCACAAATTTACATGCAGTTTGATGGAATTACCTAGTAGAAACTTGTCGTCAAAAAATAAAAGCCCTTGATTCCCTAACATAAGAAATACTACTCGTCCAGGAATCATGTCTACTGATCTGTGACCAGAATCCTACCTTGTCTATACCTGTACATATATTAGTGTACATAACCTTCATAATTTGTCGTATCATTATGATCGATTATTATATTTGACTTACCATCGAATTTCCTCGCTNCACGTGGAGACCTATAATCCCATCACGGGAAAGAACGACTCCACCAACACCTTCCATTTCACGTATCAGGTCCCGGAAATGGTCAACGAGGTCTTCCCGATGACCTACCATGAGGCAATGATGTACATCGACGGCAGGAGACATTTTCAGGACGTCATGAAGAAATCCCCCGGTATTTTCCCTAACAAATTGTGATCTTAGGAATATTTTTTTAAGTATTAACCCATTTTATGTTGTTTTTAGATTGAATGGGAACCTTTGTTGCCGAGCTACAAGTATTTTAAGCACAACTACCTCTCTGCCTTCCATTAGCTGTTTGATTTTATCTGTTGAGGTCCCACAATTATATTTTTTTGTAATTTTTATGTTCAAAGGTGAATTAGTGATTATATGTTGTTATAATTTACAATTTAGTGAGGTCATTGTATGTGTGTATCAGCTCTGGAGTTTAAAATTTGTAGATAAAATAAATAAATAATTTCAAAACTAGTGAGAAACTTCCATTACAGGCTAATGCTCTTGATAATATTATATTTCTGTTATAATTTATTTTTGAATAAATCTTTTTTTTAGTAATCCAGAATTTTATTTTTGAAGTGTTCCTTTTGCTTGAATTGTATATAAACTATATACAAAGGTAGTTATTTTGGAATTTGTTCAAACTAACGCCATCTGTTAAGCGATAGTCAAAACTGAAGTTGAGTAGAAACTTCAAAAAGAGTTCGTAATATATTTAATAGATGGCGCTTTTGTATGATGACATGTTTGGCTTGTCCTGCCATCTACATTCCAAACTGTGAGCAAAAAGTTTGAGCTTCTAAAATTACTTATCAGATGGTACAACTATGCATTGGAGCATTCCTGATCTATTTTGATTTGGCATAACCAAAGTCCGAAAGAAGAACCTTCATAAAATTTATATTTTGAAAAGCTGCATTCAATGAATTGCTGATTTTTCTGGTGATCACAGCAAATTTTTCCAAAAAATAATGAAAATTCAGAAATGTCCGATAGATAGCGCCACTTACTGATCACTATTTCGTGCCCAGCAATAGTGTATAAATTGAAGTCAAAAAATTACTGAATGTGAAATACTAATGTTTGCAGATGATCTAAAATTTTTTAAAGCAATTGATTCGTTGCAGGATTGTGCAAAAAATCAAATGGACCTTAAATCTTTTTCTGATTGGTGTAAGATGAATTATATGGACGTCAATGAGGCAAAATGTAAAAGTATTTCCTTTTCAAAGTCATTAAACCTTTATTATGCAGCTAGTTATAGTATTGCAGGAAAGAAGTTGGAACGAGTACAATCTATATGAGATCTGGGTGTTATAATGAAGGACAAGATGGACTTTCATTTACAGTATGAACACATATCTAACAAAGCGATGAAAATGTCAGGATTCATATACAGATCAATAAAAGATTTTACCAATATTTTTTAATTAAAATACTATACTTTGCATTGGTTAGATCAGTGATTGAGTATTGCACTTGTATCTGGTCTCCAACATACTTTAGTCACAGTTATGATATTGAGAAAGTTCAGAATAAATTTCTTAGATATGTTGCCTACAAAATGAACATGCCAGCTAGAAGTCATTCGCTCTACTATTGGATTGCTCAAACTCAGTACAAGACGAACACATGCAGACAATACTCCTACATAAATTGTTGAACAACGAAATTAATTGCCCAACTCTTCTCTGTCAAGTCAATCTGCATGTTCCCCCGAGAAGGACATGTAACAACCAAACTTTCAGTATCTACTTTCATAGGTGTAATTATGGAAAACATTCTCCTTTTGTAGATTTGATGAGTTCAATAAACATTTTAATTGTTCTCACCTGCAAGAAGAAAAAGTTTCCAGCTCCGAGCATCTCGGTGATGGGCCTGGGCGGCTGCACTTGCGGTTGGGGCGGCTGCTGGGGCATGGGTTGGTAGTAAATCGGATCGGGCGGAGGCGGCAGAGAGGCTTCCATGGGAGTCTGCTGCTGCGGCTCGATGGGCGGCTGCTCGAGCATTGTTGGCCGCTGCGGTTCTATCGTCAGAGTCTCGACGAGCGGAAGGACGTGCGTTGGAGGGGAGGAGGCGAGCTGCAACTCTTCCGGTACCGGGGGCGGTGGGGGCAGCGCCTCGTGGTTGTTGAGGAGAGGCTCGGCGGGAACCGGCTCAGGTTCTACCTCAACTGGTTCGGCCTCTTCAAACGTTTCAAACACCTGCGGGATAATAGTTATCATTGCTTTTTAGAAACAAACATCTTTTTGAAAATAGTCCACCACTAAATAAAAAAAAACTCACTTGAGCCTGATCGAAATATCCACTCTCGTGGATCTTCCCTAGAATTTCTTTGATTTGAGTGTAAGTTCCACCAAACACCTCTTTGGGTTTTCCATCGACGGCTGCTAACAAATGTTCGGCGGCAGCCTGCACTTCGTTCGTGAAAGCCGTAGGATTACCAGCTTCGTGTTTTGGGGTAACAGCAGGATAAAGATCATCAAGTAGTCTAAGAGAAAAATAGTTTTCTTGTTCAGAGTAACAATTTAAAATATTTATATTGATTGTAGATAAAAAATGGAGACGTTACTCACTTCAAATCAGTCTCGCAAAGTTGGGCAGCCCCATTCCTTCCATTCAAAAAGTCTTCACGTACATTTTCGTTTCCCATTTGGTTCAGAGCATCCTGAACTAATAGAATTTCTCTTAGCCTTGCGAGTTCTGCTTGGTACTTGGCGGCAGCTTCTTTTTTCGCCAATTTCTTGGCCTCCTTTTCGGAAGCCACCGCTATACTTAGGAACTGTTTAGATAAATCTCTTGCGAAATCTAATGTACTTATCACTTCGTTAAATTTCGCCACTGCAGTCTTTTGGTCAGCGTTCAGTTCTTTTCCGGCATTTTGCAACTCCTTGTAAGATTCTAATTTTGACTGAAAATAAATGATGAAAATAAATAATGGAAATGCAATCAGTTTAGCTTTCAAGACAGCAAAAATAACAATGATGCCATTTTTTTATTCCTAAAAAAATATACATTAAATTTAATAATGATGAGATGTCATTTATCAAAGGCATTCGTCTGTGTAAATCATGAAATACTGTTACAGAAACGTTTAGCACTACGGAATTAGAGAAGTTGTCCTTGAATGGTGTAATTCCTACCTATCAGGTCGAAGCTATAAAGTGAAAACAATACTCTCTGAAAAAGAGTACATGAAGACCTGCGTACCTCAAAGCTCAATACTGAGCCTTTTTTTGGTGTATATCAATGATATGCCAAATGTCAAAATATCTGAACATTTCATACTGTACACCACCATAATGTGGCATAGTTCAGATTGAGAGTGCTTAAATAAATCAATTCTTAATGTAAACCTAATTAGAAAATGAAGTAACTCAAATAAGCTTTTTTTTTATCAATGTCTCAAAGACCAATGTTGTTTCTTTCAGACGGCAGATTGAAAATATTCCACTAGGAGAAGAGTCAATTGAGAATAAACGTCACACGAAATTCCTGGGGTTGCACATTGACAGCAGATAGAATTTCGATAATAATATTGAGGCTCTGGAAAGCAAACTATCATCTAGTCTAGATGTTATGTAGTTCGTGTCCTTTCCAGTGAACTCGAGCTGTCCAAAGAAAAGATGGTTAATCATTCTATTTTGTCGGTATCGGGTTCCAACAAGGTTTCAATATAAACCCAAAAAACAGATTGAACTATGTTTTATTAATCACACATGACAATGGCCACATGTACAAAAATTACCAAAGGCAAGAAGAGAAAATGCTACGGACGAAAATAGCTTTGACATGTGTCAGCAACAAAGGCGCTCACCACGTTTCCAATGTTGCCAACCTAACACATTCACTAATCAAATCTCACCTGCGAAGGGGCATTGCCTACTAGGGGTTAGTAATGACCACACTCTGGCCATTTTAATCCAACAAAATTGGGCAGTACGGTACATGTGTACCGTATTGCCCAAGATACCACAATTTGCCAGCAGAAACAATTTAACTTTATATAATTCCTGTCCAAGGATCAATGTCTATATGAAATCACCACAATATGTATTAGTTTTAACGAAATTTGTAGCTCTTGTGATTTACTCTAGGATAGCTTAAAGCAATTCGATCAATAATGGGAGATCTGCAATATTTTACTTTTTTTCAATCTACTTATAGTTATCTATTTTTTAGTAGCATTCTTTTCCTTTATATTTCATTAGTCTCAGATTGCTCTATAAGGGGATTGTACAATCTGTTGGGCAATAAATACTACCATTATTCTTAATAATTTATCGATTAGTGATAATCATTTAAAGTTTCAAATATTCCCTGTAAATATGCGATAGTACTTATGTAATTTTGAATTTAGATATAGCTGAAATGTTCAATAATTTTCCTATAGAAAATATTACAGATATCTGGCCAACATTTTCTTATTCAATACCATGGTCATGTAATGATCTCAATGTAATCAAAAGCAAATTATCTGAATGCAAAATGCTTAGTACGAAAGAAATAAAAACAATTATCTGCAGTTTAGATAACAAATGCATCACTGACATTATCATCAACAAAGTTTTCTCAAGAGTATTTTTGAATATATAGCTTCCTACAGCATACTTCATGCTATGGAAAAAACTGCAGAACGAAAAAGGATTTTTTTATTCAAAGAAATTATGAAAATTGAAGAATCACTTAATTTAAATAATGGCATTTTGAATGTATTATCATCTAATAATTCATGAAAAATAACATAATACAAGTTTATAGAAAAGGATAAGTCCAACAGATATATAGAATAATAGTTTGTTTTATAATATGTCGGAATTCAGAATGACCTCTTTGGAATCGTTAAATGTTCCCTCATCATTTTATAACTAGTTTCTTTGTCATTTCGAATATGTATTTGTCCAATTCAATTCACTGATTTATTCAACTGACAAAAAACTTCTTCACTTTGTTTTTTACATGCTTTGTCGATAAGATTCAATAATCCAACTACTTATTATTCATGATTTGCAACTCAAGACTGGTGCATGAAACATCCTTGGAGTAAAAAATCATTATACAGAATAAAAGAGTAGCTGCGCTTATTTCTCATTAGTTATTCACAAGTTGTTGCAGAACCCCAATTGCTACAGTCTCTTTTGAAGCAGTTGTCAACTTTTATTCAAAAGTAATGCCTATATTAGAGCCAGTGAATGTAAAAAGTACTTCAAGAACTTAGTTTTTTCACATGGGACTATATATATTCGCAATATAGATCTATCATACCGAAATTTTCCAAACATTGCCGAACAATTCCAAGGAATTTGTAAAAACAAATATTTGTGCAGAAAATCAGGACATGTCTAAGACGTAAAATATACTTTTTGAAAACCATAATGATCCCAATCGTCCATTGCAAGACAACTCACCTTTCGTTTTTCCAAATTCCTAATTTTATGTTCTATTACAGTTATAGCTTGCCTAACAGGAGTCAAATTTTGAGTAGAATCTGCCAGAGCATTTTCTGGACTAATTTGCTTGTCAATCTTGACACTAGCCGCTGAGGGCATTTTATCACCGTTAAAGTAAAATATAGACTAAAATTATTCTCCCAGATGATAAGGAAAAACCAAGAAGTTACCAAACACTTTTTTGAAAAATTGAACACTTTCAGAATGAGAAAACTGTTGACAGCACAATGGATTACTACATTAAAAAGCCGAAAACTTCATCGACCGGAAACCGCCATTCCTTTCATGTTCATTGGCTTTTTTAAACGGAAGTTCTCAATACAAAATTTGGCGCTATATTCAAATTGTAGTCGGATACTTTTTTAATAGTAATAGTTTTTTCTGATATTACTTGAGAATGTGACTATTCTTTTTTATTCGGAAATCATTGAAGTTCTCGTGGAATCTAATTTTTCAATATAAAAATTTCAATAATGTTTGGTAGCAATGATTGAAATAAATCATATAACTATTAGCAATATTTAAAAGAAATTTCACTATAACTAAATTTTTGAAAGCTGAAAGTATTAAACAGTGGTATTCCAAACAGTACTGAACAATTGAGTGTAAAATATTTTTCCGAAACAAGTACTAGTTTACTTCATCTCCTGAAGACGTCAAATTAGTTGGTGAATCGCGTCGAACAGAGTATTGCAGTTCTAATGTTTGGGAACAGTTCTTATTTTCGACTTGTTTCATATCAAATGTATTTTTTTTATATCTTAATTCGAAATTTTTGCCGCAAGGTAGCGTTGCAAAATTCAAGGAACACAAAGAAAATGTCAAAATGCCATTTGGTTAATTTTCCCAAATTCTCTGTTGCGGGACTAGTGTTGACGTAAATAATGCATCATCTGGAAAATCAATCCAGCTGATTTTTGCTGTGGAAAAAAGTGCAAAGCTTTGGATCTTTGCCTAAAAAATGTTTTGATGAAATTATCTTCTCACGAAGTAGAATTACCTTTGGTATTTCTAAAGAATAGTGTGGATGAATGATGTGATGTATTCTAGAGCATCTAAGTTTGATTTTTATGGACTATCATTACGAAAAGCGTCCAATAATCAGTAATGAAAAACTTCATGAATTTTTCAAAATGAATTATGTTAGATATTATTTAACACTTACACATACATATATACAAAGTATTTCATGTACTTGGAGTAAAATTATATTTGTCGAAGTGTTCACTACAAACACAAAAATTTTATGATTGATCAATGCCCAAAATCCAAGCTTTCTAAAGCCCAAAATACACGTGGCAACGCCTCAAAATTGCTGAAATCTTCAAGTAAATCATAGTCACCAAGCACAAAAACCAGGGAGAAGAAGATTTTCATGTCGAAATCAAAAAGTCGAAATTGTGCAATTCAAGTAAAAGAGATCACATGTAAAATAAAAATATTCCATATTTTGGATACGCAATTCCGGGACATAGAAGCAGAAAATTTCCTCATCATGGAAAAACATGAAGTAGAAAAAAAAATCTGAAAATTGAATTAGCTAATGAAAAAATTGTGGACTTCAAGAAAATTGTCACAATGGGAGACATAATGCACCATACTTTTATAAAATATGAACTTTTTTGTCAGGCAGTGAAATTAGCACAAGGACGGAAGGCTGAATGTTTTATGCAAATAAATAGCTGTTTGTAGGTAACCCAGGCACAATACTATACGTAAAATACGGCCACAACTAATTTTCTATTTCTTTGCTACATTCAGGTCTTGGGGAAATATTTTCCGATAACATAATTATCACAGTAGTACATTGAACAATACTTTTTGTATGAAAAATTGTCTTTACATTTCTGTCGAAAAATATTATGATAGAATGGTAGATGCGAAAATTAAAATTTAAATGCTTGTGAATAGGGTTCCTTTGTTTTCCTAGAGTTTGACATTCGAATTATCAAATCTAGATGCCGCCCACTCCGTGGTACTCTAAGAATTTTATTGTCGGCCGTAATTATGATAATTACCCTCCAAATCAACTTATGCTTGTGGTAGCGTCTATGGTAATGTATTCTAAGAATGTCATTGTAAGTCAATAAATCATTTCCAGGTATCAATACCGCATGAATTTATCTGAAGTTCGCTAAATCAGCAAAAGGTGTCGCACTGTTCATGCGTTTCAAAAATATTTGTTCTATTTTTCATTTTTATTGTCGCCAAATCAGGTTTATCAAACTGCCAACCGCGTGGATACTCGAGAATTGTGATTTTGAAGTGAATGTTTTCTGATAAATTTGGCGCATTGGCCATTTTTTCCACGTTTATCACAATTGAAGGCATTTCATCGACTAGCAAAGATAAGACAACGGTGCTTTTTTGATTTAGAAATCAGATGTTTCTCTGAATTATTCGAAATATTATCTATTAGTTTTTATTGAATGTCTTGAAACCAGGATGGGCTTTTGAAATTATTTTGCTTATACACCGGTTACTTTTTTAATGAAAAATAAACGTAGTCAGCTTTCGATTTAATTAATCGAAAACTTTGAAAATGAAACTGTTTCATCCTATTTCAACCCTTAATTTTCATTGAAACGGTTCGAAATTGAAATTATTAGAAACTCAAAATTAAGTTTACCGCCAGAAGTCATCTATCCAAAGATGGCGCTTTCCATTGTTAGTGAAAATTGTAAAATGGCGGACCAAAGTTTGGTGAGCTAGTGCTTTCGAATTTAATACGAATTATGTTGAAAAAACACGTACATTTTGATAAAAATATATCGTAAATAGAAACCGGAAAATTTGAACGAAATTTTGTGAAGTTTTGAGATAAAAAACTAGTATCGCATCTGAGGATTCGAGTGTTTTGTACCTATGAATAGACGTTGTCCTCGTCTTATGTAGCCATATTTATGAGATTTATATTAATAATCCTTTCGAAACCCGATTTTTCAAATGAGAAGTAAGTATTTTTCACTCATGGAGTAAACGTAGTTAATGCATAATTGGTAATTTTTGTGGTTTGCGTCATTTTCTCTGAAAGCACGGCTCGAAGGTTTAGCGTTGATTTTGTTGATTTTCATGTCAGAGGTCAAGATTAGTCTGCTTCTGCTTATTTCAAAGCGATTAAAGCATGCAAACCTCACGAAAGAACTGGGCCGTCCAAAACTTCCCGTACACGCCGGGTTATTTGAGTTTTTTTAGGATTTGGACTAAACAATAGTTCAAGGTTATTCTGGTTTTGGACAATGCTGGAAGATGGAATTCATATAGGAGGATGGTTGAGAAAATTCATTACATAATTACGGTTTTCAGCTTGCCAAACCCACAATTTGAACCTTTGTGAATGTCTGAAATAGATGTGGCCAAAAATAAAAACACAAAACATTGCACTGATCAATAATCAACTCTCATGGTCTGCTGAGGTTTTTGGAAAACCCATACTAAGTAGACCATGACTTGTGTAGGCATCATTAGGTTTTGATTTGAGTATGTGGCTGTTTGGATTGAAACTTGTGGATATGTAATCCTCAGTGTTGGTAAATATTGCTCCAGATTTTGACACCATTTTTCATGTTGAGTGAAAATTGAGTTGCTCTGTTATACTCTTTTATTATGTAAAATTGTAGTGTGATAACATTTATTTAATGCATTGTTTAATTTTTGTGTACTTATCTGTGAATTTCCATTGTTGAAATTCAGAATGACCTGTTTTTTTGTATTAGCACTTCGTTTTCCAACGTTTTTACTGTAGTTATATGTGTTTTTTATAAATAAATATTGTAATGACAATTCTGAAGGAATCAAAGAATGGTGCTATCAATTCTTCTATATTTAAAAAATCATGACAGCTGTATAATCAGATTTCCATGGTTTATTCTACATATGTCAAAAATCATTTCAATATTCAGAAGAGTACATTTTGAAAGTTGTCTTTGAAATATGATTATTCCACAGATTATAACTGAGAAATTAGATTTCTAGAAAAAGGGGTGTTTCTACAGTTTTCCAATATTTGAAATATAATACCTTTTGAATGAATTACACAGAAATCTCATCTTTATTACTCAGTTAGTGACAGAATCGTAACAGATATTATTCACAGGTAAAGTTACATATACAAATATATTATGAAAGGTAACGCTTAATTTCTGATAAATGCAATTCCTACAACAGATTAAAATATCTACCCACTTCTTTTAGTGTTTTTTAGGAACTGTCTCTGCATTTATTACTGTTGAATAGTGGTAAATTTTGCAAGAATTTGAATTGGTATTGAGAAATATTGGAAAGATGCTGTGAAAACTAGTGTTTTCGTACAAAACCCCTGTGATAAATGATAAAAATATAGAACAAACTCATTTTGAATTATAAAGCAGAGGGGGTGCTATACAGAGGTATTTTCAAATGATTTGAGCATGTTTAGCTGCATATATTAACTCGTCAATCAAAAATGTCACTTTGATCCTCACTTCACTCTCATGTAAAAATGGTCTGACAATATTGAGCTGCAGTTACAGGAGTATTTGGACACCCAACTGAGAGAATAGATGTTACCTATGTAAATAATATAAATGAAACTTGATATTTCTTGAGATTCAGGACCCAAAGATGTAATATTACTTGTGAAATATTTTTATTTCATTCCAGAAGGCTAATAGAAAATCAAACATGTTTACTTATCGTAGTATAGATTTTTTCATTCCAATATTCATATTGAAATGAAGTTTGTTTCCAACATAAACACTCTGACAAACATATATTAGAGGATGAACGTTGTTGATAGTTGTAGATAGTTCTATAGATTTTTAAAGATTCACATAGTCATTCAAAGAAATCGGGGTAAACATTCGTGCATATGCATACATAACCTAAGACATATTTAATATCGGTGTCATTGGAATCAAAATTCAATGTTCATATAGAAGTAGTTGTTTCTAGAGGCGATTTTCTTCCAGTTTCTGTCTGAAAGTTACTTCTTTGCATGAGCTACGCGTCTTTGAAATCTATTACTTTCTCCCTTTCTTTGGAAGATTCCTACGTTTTTTTTATAAAGATGGACATGTAGAAAACCAAACCCTTTACAAAAAAATAATCTCTGCTTGAAAAACATACCCCTTTCAATGGAAAATAACTGTTGTATGTGAAGCTTCAGTAGTTCAATAAAATCTCCAAAGCATTCACCCAAAAAGTCATTGAGAATTTTTCAAATACTGTGGGACAGTGCCATCTACTTTTAAGTACCTGACCGAAGACAGATGTTTATTCATAAGCTTTATTGTGAAATTATAAGCGTAATGAAAGTCAAAAAGATATGAAATTAAGGCTAATATTTGAATAATACACGAATCAACTGAAATGACACATCCATTCTCATCTATTCTTATCGTTTGTGTATCACAGAGAATGGTTCTAGGACTCGTAGTTTTTTATTGAATTTCATTGATGTATGAAAATTTCAGAACTCGTTTTTATTTAGAATTTGATTGGAGGTAGGCTGTCACTGTTATAAGTATTTTAATGACCTACATAAGTTTTACTTTGACAGAATATTCAACACCTATTGTGATGAATATTACTGGAGTTTTTCCCAACACCAAACCGTTATTTTAGCACCTCGAAACGTGTTTCAATCACCGAGTGATCATCTTCAAGAGGAAGATTTTCCTCAAAAGTGCATCACAAGTTATTATTTTTGTTTCTATGCAGCTCAATTATTGTCTGGTTTGAAATACTAATGAAAGAATCAAGTGGTTTCTTTGCCCTTCTATCATGATCCTGTTTTAGTTTTTTCATTCAGTTTATTGGGGTTATCCATTGTTTCAGATCCGAGTTCGTGATCGATTGATGAATTTTGAAATATTTTATGCCACTTTAAATCTTACTGCTACCCATAAATTCAAGTCCATTTCTTTAGTTGGCTTGGTTTCATTTTTTGTTCTGTAATTTTTTCTGTTTTCATAGCTTTTTCTAAGAACAAAGTTTCAAA